TTCCAAGTAACTTCAACCATCTGCTCCTTAGGAACCTTTCGTCTATCAGTTTTACCACGCATTGGAAATCATACCCGAATAGCATTGGCATAGACGCAGCTTCACCACTCAGCCAGTAATCTTGGTTATGGTACGAACATTCAAACTCGATTACTCGACGATGTACTACAAACAAATTCTTGTATGACGCAAATATGTGCTATTATGCATGTGCATGAAACTATAAACTATGGTAATCTGAAGTGCAGACCTAGGGAAAACTTGGAATGCTGTCAGCGAAAGTCCAAAGACCCGAAGGAGCAAAACAAGCACGAATAGCTTCACGATTGCAAGCAAAAGTGGAAGCATATATAGTATTCAGTCAAGCCGGTTAACTCATCCCATCCCCTGTTGGCCCCTCGCACCGAACTGTCACCCAAGACGGATAAGCAGCCCAGCATTAGGAAACCAACACAAGCCAGTATAGCAGTACCATGCCGCGGACAAGACAACAATGCAAAGAACATAATCAGACGACGACGAGCCTAAAGCCTCCAGGCTCCACAACCTTCCTCCCTTTCACACCCGAAGGCATGAGAGGTCCAGTATAAGGGAGATGGAAAACAGTAGATCGACGCCTGTATTCCTCACAATGCTGTACGGCTTGGGTGCAACCTGAGGGGCGGTCCTCAAAGAGGTCGTTGAATGGATAGACTGGTTGTCATCATAATAACTGGGGGAAGTGTGCAGTTGAAAAAAGATAATGATGTACCTTTTGGATAGATGATGAGGTAGAGCATCAATGATATGGATTACAGCTAGATCTTTTGAATTGTCAGCATTCTTGTCACAGACAGGATGGGTGAAAGACAATGATAATGACTCAAGAAGGATCAGGAGTTTTTGGTAAGGTATTTTGTTATCTTCAAAAATTTTGCAGAAGCAGAACTGAAAATGTTTTCTCATCATAATGAGTGTAGGTGGGAAAGGAAAGGGGGAAATGGTTCTTACCTTATTAGCGGAAATTTTCATAGAGCTTCCCAATGTACTCGAAACGAGTGAAGAGGGTTTTTGTTCCTGTCTTAAGCAATTGTTAGTCCCTGATGCATAGCAGTGGAATATTGAAAAACAATTGTGAAGTTGTTGTCATTATCAGATGGTGATGCATGTTTGTTCATGGCCCATTTTTTGTCGCCAAACAGGAGTTGGAACTCTCTCGATCATGTAGACAGGGTTGGAAGGGTTGGAGGGTACTCACGTATAGGATGTTAGTGATAGATAGAGTGAACTATATCAACTATTATCAAGAGTCAACTCCATCGACATTAGAAGGAGTTTTCTCTGTAAATAGAGGAAGTGTGTGTAGAAGAGAAAGGAAAGGGAAGAGCAAAAAATCGAAGAAAAGTCGCCAAAAAGCCAAACGGCGCTAGGCGGTGGGGCCTACAAACAGTGCAAACTCCCAAGATTTCCGTTTCTGGGACTTCAGCCATTGCGATCTCTGGACAGCTTCAATATTGCCCCAACTTACCTAAAATGGCTGATAGAAGACGTATCAATGGGCCACCTGGTGGCACAAGACCTCCAGTCTTTGCATCCCTCCAAGAATCCTCGACAGGCGTCGCAAACCGCGCCCAGCGCCAACGCCAACCCGCCGAACTACGGAAAATCTGTATGAATCGCCGACAAGCTTCTTGTTGATCGCAGCTAACCTTCAATGCTCTAGTCCTCAAGACAGGATTGATCCCAACCGCCTCAGGCTCTTCATACCTTGAATTTGAACCATCCGCTTCCCTCGCCGCCGCCCGCTCTAACCCCAAATCTCTGATCCCGCCCTCCTCAGCACTCAAGCTGGCTTGCACTGTCCACGGACCAAAGCCGCTCCCCCGCTCTGCTGCATTCTCACCGAACCTAGTTCTCACCACTCATGTCAAGTACGCGCCATTCGCCGCCCGCAAGCGGAAAGGACATATCCGTGATGCCAGCGAGCGTGACCTTGGCGTACATCTAGAGACCGCCCTCCGTGGCGCAATCATTGCCGAGCGCTGGCCCAAGAGTGGTCTGGATATCACTCTTACAATCATTGAAGCAGAGGATGACCGTTGGTGGGGCGATGCTCCCGACTCGCATGATGCGTCGTGGGGAATGATGAACGTTCTCGCCGGTTGTATCACAGCAGCTTCTGCTGCCATTGCGGATGCCCACATTGACTGTCTTGATCTTGTATCCGGTGGTGTTGCTGCTCTGGTCTCGGATGACTCAAATCAGTCGGCATCCTCTGCCCCGCGACTCATGCTTGACATTGATCCAGCGGAACATCGGTCGATTCTGTCGGCTTGTGTGGTGGCATACATGCCTGCGCGCGATGAGATTACTGAGCTCTGGCTCAAGGGTGATAGCTCAAGGGCGGCTCTTGAAAAGGACGATGGGCGTACGGGTCATGAAGCTTTGATTGACGGAGCTGTTGACGCGGCTCGTGGCGCTAATACTGTCTTGGCCGAGGCTGTGAAAGAATCTATCGCTAGGTCTTTTGCTCAAGTCTAAGATAGTTTCACCACATAACGAATGAATGAAGTTTACAGGCTCTATCATTGATGTAGCAATCAGCTAGTTTTTTGGTGTTCCTGTTTAACGATCAATTTAAAGCGGTGTCACAGGACTAGATGATGCCCTAGAAAGCAAGACGATGTAGAATCTCGGCACAGGCACGGCATCATTACACTTCGACCCAGTTCACGTTATCTGTCGTAACCACAACTGGCGACAGAAGGTGCCACTTTTGACCAGACCATAACACCTCTCCTTCTTGCGGTTGAATTTACATCTTCGTGTGACTCGTCTATCAGTATAATGGACCTCCATATCCTTAACGAGGCCGGACGGGATCCCCCTGGTCTACTGGGCTACGCAAAAGGTGGAGCAAGAGTGACTTTCGACAGATCAGACCCCTTTACTACGTATAATCCAAGCGCACATACTAAAACAATTGATGGCTTTTTCATCTAATATCTCCAGCAATGTGTTGCACCGTTACATATACCTCTCAGTGTATTTTGACTAATAGTAGGTGAAAAAGGGGATGCTATAACAGCAAAGAACCGATGGCATACACTTGGATCCGAATACTTAAACCAGTGAGATGCTTGGCCGTCCCTCGTCCTTAAGAAGTTGGCTTGTCTGAATTGCCTCGTCGCTTCCATATAGACGCCAACTAGTGGAAGAATTTTAACTATTAGACTAAACTAGTATATGTGGGCTGCTTTTCATATCACAAGGCAATATACGGAGTACTTTGTACATATTGCGTGGATATTAAACTATAGTTAGACAGAGTGGCTTTGAAATCTATCTACCTAGTCACACGCCACCCGTGGACTGCCACAGTGCCCAATTGGGAAAGATACCGTTTTTACATCAGTTTCATAGTGGGTTTGCAGATAGATGGCCTAAGCTTTCAACGAGATGTCAAATTGACTAATATACAGCATATCATTTTTATGTTCTAAAAAAAATCCGGTCAAAGTAAAAAAAAGGGGCAGATAAAGTTGAACGTTAGACAGTTAAACGCCTGCCGGCTTCTCCCCTAAATCAAATTATGACGATCTAGTGCAAGACCCATCGGAATCGATCGATCGTGGGATATCGGATCTAAGGAGTTCGTAATACACAACATACGATGGGTACATTGTACGATATATTGCACAAAGTACGGAGTACAGAGTACTTGGTACGGTACAATAGTAAAGGAGTCGAGAACTCCACCTGCAGCGTTTTTGAACGGTTGAACATGAAAGATCGACTTGCTCAATTTGCCCCTGAGAGTACTAAACCAAGTACGGAGTATATAATAATATAATAATAATACTAACTACTCCAAGTACGTACAACATATGTTGTACGGAGCACACTACTGCGGAAACGAATCCGAGATCCGCTCTAAATAACTTTTGCATTTTCTTTGTCCCTGAAAGCCCCATATGAATCTTCGGATTACTCCATCCGACTTTAGTACCTTCAAATAACCAAAGCTGGCCAAAAATGGTGGTCGGTTCGTGTGTTCCCGCTAAGCAGACGGCTCACGGTCTGGCGATCACTTCGTCGCACCAATGACCGGCTTGCGCGGAAATTGGAAGCTCCATCGTATGCCACTATTCAAGCCCTGAATCCACCGTCGTTCTCTCCCGTTCGACATAATTAGACATTTGGAACTCTTTGACAAAATCGCTGATTGGTGCACGATCGCTGGTGGATGTCTCTGGGAAATCACCAGAGCAGCTTCTCGCCCATCGGCCAGCGATATGGATCCTGTCAAAAAAACTTCACGTGTGGATCAGCCTCGGATGGGGCAGCTCTTAGGCTCTCAGCCTATGATGCAGGCTGAACGTTTTCCGAGAAGAAGGAAATGTCCACTTGCTGCAGAATTGACCCATTCTTATGCAGCTTTTGACCTAGCAAGATATTGAGTGTTGGGCCAAAAAAATCCCCCGAGATGGATTCGAAAAAGAGACAAAGACTCGACTTGAGCTGCAATTGCCGAAGCAAATTGCCGAATCAAACTTTCAAACAAAGAAAAAGGCCGTATATTCTTAAAATTTTTAGCGTTAGAACCGTCGCGCCTCATCTTAGGATCATGGAGAAGACCGGGTCGCTCCCCCTGATCTAGGCACAAGACTGGTGTTAGATCTGCACTCTGCTTTGACAGGATACCTACTCCGGACTGGAACCCTATTCTATTTTTTGGGACTTTGCGATTTGACTTGACTTTGTTCTTCTTTCTCCCGCTTTTCTTTCACTATGATATGACACCTGAACCTTGTGACGGTCTTCAATTCTTCGAGCTTGGATGCCATGACATCAACTTGTTTAATTCTTTATGACCGCTGGTCTCGTCGCTCCCTTAATAATTAGCTTGACATTATTCTATTTTATTTTCCTCCTGTCTACGCTACCGTTGCCCTTCATTTTCCAATTGCGCACCGGTTTTGCGCTTCATATCTACTTCATATCTACTTCAACCCTTCAAAATGGTGGGATTGAAGAAACTATTCCTGACGGACAAGACTCATTCTCGTCCGGCAACCAGCCTTGGACTGGAGAGCTGTGGCATAGATCAACCCTATTTTCACACGGCGGTTGACTCGCCTACACGAAGTCACTTTGAGGGTGGTTTCCTGTCCAGAGATTCGCAGTCACTAGATGTGGCTCATCATTTTGATCAAATCGAGAAGCAGTTCGAAGATCTACATGATCGACTGAAACGGCCGACATCTTCTCAATCCCAATTGCCGCCTCTCAGCCCTCATTTCGCGCCCAAACCTCAGAATGGCCGACATATCGACTTGATGGATGCTCTGCTCTCTACGGAGCAAAATCAAACGACTACCCCGGAGCCAATTTCTCCCCCTGTCAGCCTATACAACGAAGATGTCGCGGAACGAAACATGACCCGGTTTCTACGGATCCAAAACCGGAATGGAATTGCCCGCTCGGGTATACTTTCGGCCTTATACCAAGAGGACGTGGCCGACAGAAATATTGCGAAATATAGCAGCCCTGGTCGCTCTTTGTCTCACTTAAGTTCTTGGTCATCGCCGGCTGCGCCTGGTAGAGTACGGATTCCAGAAAGCCAACGGCGCAAAGCCAGGAAGCGGGACCCAGGGAAGCCGAGCTGGGCATCAGCAGAAAATCTACGGACAAAGCTCTCCCCAGATGATGGCTCGGGCACTTCATCTCCACGATCACAGTCCCATCTTGGCAACTACCTTAGACCCCAGAGATCTGCGCCGAGCCTGTCTGCAGACGAAGGCTTTGTCCCACAAGAAGATGGACCCCCAACTCCTGTCCAGCGCCTGGGTGTTCCCCCTGCCTATAAACAAGGCAAAAGGTGGAGCAACACTCCTCTGCCGGATAGTCCTACAATTCCTATTCCTATGGGTGATAGTGACGGCGCCGCCAAGGCTGCTTCGGTACCACAACAACCTGCTACAATAGCCCCCAGGACACAAATATCGCTCCCTCCGCCACAGTTATCAGAGCCAAGCTCCAAAAAGAATGCACGAGGACTCTCGATCAATACGCAATTAGCTGCCAAAGGACCTCCAAAAATTGCGCACCGTGCCATCCAGCCGCCAACACCCTCAACTTGCAAGTTGAACAGGGCTCCCAGCATCGCAGAAGTGATGAACAGTCCTTTGCCAGTTCCCAGCCCAATCAGTCCCCCGAAATCATCTTCACGCTTCGTAGACATGATGGACTTTTTCACCAAGGCTTACAAGTCCGTCCAAGGCTCCCACTCAACCTACGAGACACTGCAGGACGCCATAGTCCGCGAGGTCAATTCCCACGAGGCATTCCGCCGAGTCCCCGTGCCCGCCCCAGGGCCTCCATTCACACCCTCGTCAGACCAAGACGAGTTCAGCAACGACTCCAGACCAGCAACAGCACTCCACCGAAGCCTCTCCGCGAAGAAACGGCTCATGAACAAGAACTCGTACAAGCACAAGAGCACCCCCGAAACCCGCCGTAGCATCTCAACCAGCGTCGGCTATGACCGCCTCCTACGAAAAGTCTCCAGCTCCCCCGCTCGTCGTCGACACACCGACGCCCCACCCCCCACCCCAGGTTTCCTGGCCGAATTCCAACCTCACAAAGAGCCCATCATCACCCGCCCCGGATCAGGAGAGCCAATCACGTACCTGGACGTGCTGCACGCAAGCAGTGAACAGCGACCTATCTCAACCGGCGCCTGCGCAAGCCCCTCTGTATCTCGCAAACGAGGACGCTCGGAATCCATCGGCAATCTTGCCGCCATGACCTGCGCGGGCCCTGATCTGTCTTTTGCCCCCGGGACAGTCTACTGCATGCAAGCTCACTCGACTCCTTCGAGTAATACCTCACAGGAAGACAGTGACGATGATATCATTCACCTCCCTAACCTGACTCCCCCGCCGCGTGTGCAGATCGAAGGCGTCGACGAGAATAACATCCGCTATGTCATCGATGCTGCTTCGCCGGATGAGGCGCAGAAACTCATGTACTGGCCTCAGCAGGTTCGCCGCGGTGGTACCAATCATTACGGGAATAGTCTGTCGCCGTTGTCTCGTGCTCGCATGCAGCTTCGTGGTTCGCGCTCGGTTGAGACTTACTAGGATGGAATCAACATTCTTTTCGAACAATTTCCCGACCTAGGCGGGGATATTTCTATTTTGCCGCATGATAACGATGCTCTCATGACTTTCTTCCTCTCTCTCTCGCCTTATTGCGTTCTCCCAAAAAAAGCCGCTCAATCCTTTCCAGTCTTTTCATTATCTCTTGGCCCTGTCGAATTGACATTCGATATGGCGCTTGTCAATCCTTCTTTGTCATACTCATACAACTTGTATCCATATATCCCGTCTATATTAACCCTAGTCTATCTCTCACCATTTCTTTTTTCTCTTGTCTTGTCTCGGATCCTGCCAACCTCCAAAGATTTCCTTCTTTTGTCTTAATACCTTGGTTGCATGATTTGGCCGGAGTTTCTGTCATGTCAATCTTCTTGTCATTGTTATCACCAGTGTATATTAAAACTCCTTAGCGTTTGCCATATCTATCAATATCCTATTATTCGCTCTGCAGATAATTGTCTCTTCCCTCGTGAAATGAGTATTTGTTGTAAATTCCATTATACTCCTGGTTCTATAATTGATCAAAGGGTCAATTCATACCATCACGTTTCACCTACATTCTTCCTTTTCATATCAGCTTTCTGTTTCTCCTTGGGCATAGAGGCTCAGCGTCCTGCCCTCGGGATCTCGGGGTTTGGAATCCCCAAGGCTGCTGTCTTGTGCTATTTATGTATGTGCTCTTTATCATTAGCCTGATACTAGTTTACGGGATTGCGGGTATCAAAAAAAAGCCACACAGATAGACAGAAAGAAACGAAATCCTAGAAAAGCAATAATGACATGTCTCATTTTCATAATATCATTGCCACTACCTGCCATTTCCCCTTAAACTCCACATTGACAAATCAACATATTGAAGGGACGCCTCGGAACCCACAGAAGAAAATGCCATATTGTCTGATGCTTCAACTTTGCTTCCCTATGTACTACTCCGTAGAGAGTGTCGCAAAATACACTGCCTTCAGCACTCGGCGGTAGTGACCACTAGTGGTTCGGACTGCATGGTAGTTTTGGCGACAGGAGATGAAAGATCTAATTTGGATGCAACGCAATAGCTTAATAAGAGCCTGTATTGAAATAGTTAGTGTTTTGTCGTGGATAATGGGGGGGAAACCCCTGGGAATTAGAAACTTACGGCCAAACATGCACCACTTCTCAGCAAGACGCTGGCACTTGGGGTTGCAGCAGGGAGTGACACCTTGCTCAAGACCCTCGGGCTGCTCGAAAGGAATGCACAGAGACTTAGCGCCCATGCTGGGGGCCTTGGCATCCTCAGCCTCGCCGGAGTCTTCCTCGGCCTTGCGGGCACTCATATCCTTGATCTGGTCCTCGCATTCCTCGGTCAAGCAGTGGGGAATGACACAAATGTTCTTGTTGTTCAGAGCGGGAACAAAGTCATCCCACTTAGTGACCTTGATGCGGTGGGCCTTGAACTGCTCGTCGGCACGGTTGTACAGATCAGACTGGATGGTCTCAAGAAGCGCAGGAACGCCAGTACCCAGCTCGGGGATAGGGATGCTGCCCTTGCCATCCTTGCCGGGGATATCACGGCGGGCGGTGGTAACAAAGTGGCCGGCGGACTCGCCGGGACCGAATTCAATGCGCAGAGGCACACCGCGGAGCTCGTACTGGTTGAACTTCCAGCCGGGGGAGTAGCTGGTCTTATCGCTGTCGGCACGGACGCCGGCAGCAACGAGGACGGCGACGAGGCCGTCGACCTCGGCATTGAGCTTCTCCCGCTCCTCTTCGGTAGTCTTGGCTGTGAGACCGACTGGGACAATGATAACCTGGATCTCAGCGACACGAGGAGGAAGGACCAAACCCTTGTTGTCACTGTGGATCATGACCATGACACCCAGTGAGCGGGTAGACAGACCCCAGGAGTTCTGCCAGACGTGCAGAGGGGGCTTCTTCTCATCGACCGTAGCGGTGGGATCCTCAACAGTGATACCGAACATCTTACTGAAGTTCTGGCCCAGTCCGTGGGATGTACCACCCTGAATACCCCGGCCAGTGGCGGGGATGTAGCCTTCGACAGTGGTGGTGTAGTTACCGCCGGCGAACTTCTCCTTCTCGGTCTTCTGGCCCTTAACGACAGGCACGGCAAGGAGCTCCTTGTAAATCTTGGCATAGTAGTCAAGGATGCTCAGAACTTCCTCGCGGGCAGCACCTTCAGTCAGGTGAGCGGTGTGACCTCTGCACATTGTTAGTATGTCATTTTGAACAGAAAGGAGTGTCAAGAACATACTCTTGCCAAAGGAACTCTCGTGACCGGAGGAGTGGTTGAGGGTTCTTGAATTCCCATCTCACTGTTGATATTAGTAACATTTCGAGGGTATGGAGAAAGAACGGAGGCCGCACCGACTGAGTTCCACTGGTTGAGACGAAGGGGGAGATCACGGTGACTGCGAATCCACTTGGCGTAGTAGGGGTACATGACAGTCTCCGAAGTAGGGCGAATGGCGATCTTCTTCTCGAGGGGGGTCGAGCCACTGGAAGTATATGTCAGTGCAGTTCAAGTGAAGTATAAAAAGGCAGTATAGGTTTAAGGGACGGCATACGCATGGGTGACCCAGGCAACTTCAGCGGCAAAGCCCTCGATATGGTCCTTCTCACGCTGCAGAACATCCTCAGACACGAACAGAGGGAAAGAGCAGTTCTTGACACCCATTCCCTTGATGGCTTTGTTGAAGTATTCTTGGATCTCCTCCCAGATGAAGAACAACGCAGGCTTGAGAATGAAGCAACCGGAGACATCATAGTAGTCCAGCAAATCACCCTTGGTGAGAACCTGCTGATACCAGCCAGAGAAGTCCTCCTCCTTCAAGACATCAATACCGATCAGCGCGGCACCATCAACCTTCTTCTTAGAAGCTTTCTTGGCCTCTGGCTTGCCGATACCCTTCTCTCCCTTGTTCGAGGCCTTCTTATCAGCCTTATCCGCCTTCAATTTGGCGAGCTTCGCGGCTTTTTTGGCGGCGTTCTTTGACTCACCCGCCTGGTCTTCGGCGGGGTTTTGAGTGCGGTCAGGCAAGGTCTGGGGGCAGCGCCCTCGAAGGCGCGGTCGTCGCTGGGGTTCTGGCTAGCCATGTTGAAGAAGCGAGTGTCTGACTAGACAATGAAAGGGAAACCCGAGTCGAAAGTAAGATTGCAAGCAAGCGAAATCGGGGTATGACTCCCCTCCGTAAAGTGGGATGCGATATCGAAAATTACTAGCACACCGCCTTGGCAGAACTTTTAGTGCCCACAGCACCCCCCCGAAGCCAGACAGCTCTGCCATCGCATCGAATAGCTCATATTACATCGTCTGTTTTAACTATGGCAGGCATTTTTGAGGCGCCGCGGAATGCGGACACGCTCTGTGGGTCTTCATCTAATCGATCATCGTTTTCGTTACAATAAACTGACCAGTCTCGCACAGTCTTGGGTGGGCAGAAAATCACCGGTGCTGATGTCCGTGAGCAGAATGGTATGTTGAATAATTGATGGGGTTGTTGTTGTTAGGGATTGACAGCTGATTCCTTGCAGTTCTGGCAACACAGGCGATCGCCAATGTCATCAAATCCTCATTCGGTCCGTCCGGTTTGGACAAGATGATGGTGGACGACATAGGGGTATGGAAACGATAAACCCCGCAGACTTGGCTGCAGCTTCTAACATCTGGCAGGATGTGACTGTGACGAACGATGGCGCTACTATTCTGTCTCTTCTTGATATTGAGCACCCTGCGGGCAAGATCCTTGTTGATCTGGCCCAACAACAGGACAAGGAGGTACGGGCCTCTACAACAGACGCACATTTCAAACACACGCTTATAATATAAATTTCAATAGGTCGGAGATGGTACTACCTCAGTTGTTTTGATCGCCGCTGAACTTCTCCGGAGAGGCAACGAGTTGATGAAGAACCGTATACACCCCACCACGATCATCAACGGATACCGAATTGCCCTGCGCGAAGCCGTCAAGTATATGAATGAAAATGTTACGACTAAGGTGGATAATATCGGAAAGGACAGCTTGGTCAACATTGCGAAGACTTCCATGTCCAGCAAGATCATCGGTTCCGATTCCGATTTCTTTGCGAACATGTGTGTGGACGCAATGCTGCAGGTGAAGTCTTTGAACCAGAGAGGCGAAGTCAAATACCCAGTCAAGGCCGTGAACCTGCTTAAGGCTCACGGAAAGAGTGGTACCGAGTCCGTACTTGTGGACGGTTACGCGTTGAACTGCACTGTTGCTTCCCAGGCCATGACAACCCACGTGGCCGATGCCAAGATCGCTATTCTCGACATGAACCTGCAGAAGGAGCGGATGAAGCTCGGTGTTCAGATTACAGTGGAAGACCCCGATCAATTGGAGAAGATCCGTCAGCGGGAGTCCGGCATTGTTATGGAGCGTGTTGATATGATCCTGAAGTCTGGTGCCAACGTCGTCCTCACGACTAAGGGCATTGACGACATGGTCCTCAAGCTTTTCATTGAGAAGGGAGCCATGGCAGTCCGTCGCTGCAAGAAGGAGGACCTGCGCCGCATTGCTAGGGCCACCGGTGCTACCATGGTCAGCACCCTCTCTGACCTTAACGGAGATGAGAAGTTCGAGGCATCAAACCTTGGACACGCAGAGTCGGTTTCGCAGGAGCGTATCTCGGACGACGAGTGTATCCTGATCAAGGGTACCAAGATCCACACTGCGGCTTCCATTATCCTCCGTGGTGCCAACGAGTACAGCTTGGACGAGATGGAGCGCTCTGTTCACGACTCTCTCTGTGCCATCAAGCGCACTTTGGAGAGCGGAAGCATTGTTCCCGGCGGTGGAGCCGTGGAAACCGCACTTCACATCTACCTCGAGGAATTCGCAGTCACAGTTGTAAGTAATATTGTTCGCTGTTACTTTCTCCTTTATCAGTTTCTAACATTTGCACTACAGGGTTCCCGTGAGCAACTGGCCATTGGCGAGTTCGCACAGTCTCTCCTTGTCATCCCTCAGACTCTGGCAGTCAACGCAGCGAAGGATTCATCTGAGCTCGTTGCTCAGCTCCGTGTCCGCCACGCCCTGTCACAGCGTGTGCAGGACGGCGATGCTAACGAGGAGGAGAAGGCCATTGCCAAGAAGAAGACTTACCGCAACTACGGTTTGGATCTGACGAAGGGACGGGTTCACGACACTTTGAAGGCTGGTGTGCTGGAGCCCAGCATGAGCAAGATCAAGCAGCTCAAGAGTGCTGTGGAGGCTTGCATATCCATCATGCGCATTGATACGATCATCAAGCTGGACCCCGAGCAGCAGCAGGATGACGGCCACGGCCACTAAGCCTGAGCTCATTTTGACTACCCCAATCCCAAAAAAAGGCAGTAATATGATGTGACATAGATGATCAGCAGTAGTAAATTCTCATTTCTGCTGCAACTGCATATGAACCAATTTCTCTCAAAGTAGATACATGAAACCCGTAGCACTAAACAACCATTCTGCTAGATCTATATCCCTCATTGCCGCCTGGCGGCCATCAACTTGCGGTATTCTTCAACAATATTCCTCCGCTCACCAGCCAACTCCTCACGGCGTCTCAAACTCCCAACCGCAGCAGGCACATTGGCAACATCAACCTTAGCCCCACCACGCACCTTAAAGATCTCCCGGGGTTTAACCAACTGAGGCGGCGCCTTCGCAACCTCAAATGGATTCTTCTTCCGCTCCTCGTCACGCTTCTTCAGCTTAGCCCAAGGATCAGGATCATCGTCCCCGCTATCAGGAGCATCCCCATCAGCATTCATTCCCTTCTTCTTGTTTTTCTTCGTAGCCTTCTTCTTCTTTCCCCCAGCGGCCTCAATTTCCCACTCCTTCCACTGCCGCAACTCAACCTCCATCTCATCCTCCCGCTCTTCCCGCTCCTCCTGCTCCTTCTCCCGGATCTTAGCGTCCTGTTCACGCCACCCCTTCTGCAGTCGCAGCAGATGCTTCTCATGCTTCGTCCGCTTGTGCTGCTCCTTGTTCTTGGCGTCACCTGTCTTGACCGACTTGGTCATCTGCGACAATGGCATTTCGCGGTCAACACGTGCTACGAACTCGGCCAGCCGCTCGCCAGGCATGATCTTGGGCATTTCGGTCTTCTCCTTGGCGGAGGGTTTGGGTTTTTGCGTTTCCGCTACCTTCGCGGGCTTCTTCGATGACGCTGTTGCGTCTTCTGTAGCATTGCGCTTGCGCTTGTTCGGGCGCTCGCCCGTCTTTAGTCCTGATGGCGCCCGTCGACCTGTCTGCTGGTATTGCATTAGGCGGCGGAATGCTTTCGGGGTGTCGTCTTCGGTGACATTCTTGAGGCGGTGGGTGGGTGCTTTGTTGGCGCTCTGGTTCTGATCTTTGGATTGGTTCTTGTTGACGAGTTTTTTGCCGTTCTTGCCTAGCTTGGGCTTGACCACATCGCGGACTGGAAGTGCTTTTGCTATCTCTGAGGGTGGGAGATCGAAGTGGCTGACGCGAGGGGAATCGTCAGTATTGGGTTTTGAATAGACCTAGTAGATTTCTAGTGCTCACGCTTTATCGGCTTCGCCGCGTCTCTTGTGTTTGTGAGGCATTTTGGGTGGTTTTGCAGTGGAAGATTGGAGGATTGGAGTTGTTGGCGGAACTTTTTTTCATCGAGGTTGGCCTTATCTTATCGCTCGGTATGACCCCGGGGACGACCTCGACGTACACCCCGGCCTGTAGACATTTCTACTTCAAATTCACCTTTGAAAATATTAGTTTATTGGCCCATACTCGATGCAGATGTATTACATTAATTGGACTCGATGAATGAGGGACAAGTTTGTTCCAGTCAGATACTAATGCAAATAAGCCCGGAATAAAGGATATGCTACGCTAATTAATATGCCCTCCCAAACGCCAGTAAAATGCCCACAGGCAAAAAAAAAAGAACCATCCAGACACCTCGGAAAATGCAAAACAATAAAAAGCACAAAAGACGCCGGGGAATCATTCGTCTTCGTCGTCAATTGAGTCTTTCATATCAGCCCAGCCACACATCCAGCGTTTACCCTCAGTTTCACCACCATTTCGAAGCTCGCGAGCCTCGGGTCCCTCACGCCAGCATCGAGCGGAGTAGTCGTCACTCACAGAAATGAGTTCACCAGATGGCGTCCAGGACAGACCAGTGACCTCTTTCTGATGGCCTTCGATGAGAGGAGTGCCTGATTGGTAGATTGGGATGGTATCTTCGAGACGGCCGGACAGCCCGATTCCAGAGTTGGTACGACGAAGTCCTGAGCGGGTGGTGAAAAGGGAAGTCCTGCTAGGCAGAGATTCGGCTGGTGATGTCACGGGAGAATTGAGGTACCGTTCATCGGTAGGGAAAAGAATGGGGCAGTGGTCGCTGCTCCCAGTAGCCAGCATCTCCGGATGATCGTGGTTTGCTTTGCGCACTGCTAATTTCACATAGAATGAGGAAATTTGGAGGCGAGGGTGGCGGAAACCATAGAGAGGCCCAAGACCGTCTTTGTCGGAGCCTCCAGTCCTTCGTGGACGGTTGTTGTTGAGTGAAAGTTCAGGCGCATGCCCAAGAATCAAGTGTGAGGTCGAATATGTGTAAACGGTGTTGTCTCGGCAAAGTGTGTACAATCTTGAGCCATCTCCTCCAAATGCCATGGAAGTCAGGCCAAAGCGTCGATACTTCACATGGCTTTCTGGCTCTTGTGTTGTGGATAGAGGGATGACAGGTCGACCACGACGATTGTTGTGTGCTGTTCGCAAGTCCCAAAGCCGGACACTTGCGCTAGCCTCAGAAGCCGTAACAAAAAGATTTTCCCGGCCAGGTGAGAGAAAAGCGAGGGAAGTAACGGTGATGTCGGTCCGGCCAATTGGTGGCACATCATTTTTGTCCATGGTAGGTTTTTGAGAGGTTGTGTATGCATGGGCACCTTCAATTGTATTCAGAACGTGGGGGTATAACATCTTTGGAGGTGCAGTGGTCGTGGCGTTTTCGGTTTCGGATTCCAGGGAGCATTGGACTTGCAACGCAGGCCGTTCAAACCCTTTGCAGCGGAGATCCCAAATATTGACATTTCCATCCCGACTGCAAGTAGCAAGAACCTTGTTGTTGGACGCCGGTTGGAATTGGATACGCTTAACGGAGGATGAGTGATTCGATAAACAGTGGATGGGTCGTTGTGTTGTCATATCAATAATAAGAGACGTTTGGTCGCCAGATGCTGTAGCCAGTAGCATGTCGTCCGATGAGAACTCGAGGTCCATGATCGAATTCGTGTGTGGACGGAACCCAAGATATGCGTTCGCGAACCCAGGATCCTCGTCAATCGATGAATCCAAGAGGCGAATTCCACCCGCTTCGTCACCCACTGCAACAAGAGAATTTACTTCCGATTCGTTAGCATGTATAGGGAGCAGTCCGGTGAAACATGACTTACTGTTGCATGAAGCATTACAGAATGGGAGGGCCACTGGACCCTCCGATCCGTTACCAAACTCGTGATGGTCCCGTGATTGCGAATAGAAGTTGGAAGTAAGATCTTGCCAGCCTAGAGAGAAGATTAGAGGTATGCAAGTAAGTCATGGGATGAGTACCAACCAGCGCCCGAGTTTGATCGTAGGGTTACTTTATTTGCCCGGGCCCCGGCCACAGTTCGCATAAACAATGCACCAGATGATTGCAATGCCTGGGAGCGGCGCACAGGGGCCACGGGGGGGTTTCGCTTTGGTGGACTTGGTGGTGCTAATGCATCAAGATGGATGTCGATGTTTGGAATCTTAATATCTTGTTCCACATCATGCGTCGGAGACCGGACACGAACTCTCTTAAGAGGCGAGGATTGCGGGGAGACGACTGAGGAGAATGAGTTCTTTCTTTTCCTGCTTGGGGTGCGAATAAAGTCCTCCGGTAAGCCATCATGGGGACTTCTGGTGCTGCCAGCCTTGGTTCTCGAAAAGGCTGGCCCCAGACGATTCACCGCGGGCGATGTTAGTGCCCGTAAGGCCTGGCGGCTGGTTGAGGGCGTGATAGAAGTATCCCCAGTGGGTAGTAAAGAACGCGGGGTGAAGAATCGACGGAATGACCGGGGCGTTACAGTCGGTGGCTTTCTGGGTCTGCGAGTATCGGAAGCAATAGACGGCGGGGATGAGGGTGGCTCTGGAGGAGGAAGGACAGGCTCTGACCGGGGTACCTCCGGGAGATTGGAAATGTTCATTGTGTGTTTAATAATAAAAAAGCAGAAAGAAAAAAAAAAAAAAGGCTATGGATGCATTGATGGCTGGAAGACTAGAGGCTAAAGGGGATCGGAGATGAATCGGGGAAGTTGGATCTTTTTTTCGTGTCGCGACGTGACGCGGTCGTGTCAAGGCATCTAAGGCATTTTACCCCCCTCCACCCTCAATGTCGAACTCCTTCAATCCCAATTATTCCTCCTACGGATATCTAACGCCAAGTTGGCTTGGGCTAATCCCTAGGCCCATTCGTTTTGGTTTTTCGTCCTAAAACGCGTGGAATCACTATACATCTAGACGATCTTGATGTCAACACTGTCCAATTCCAGACAACAACTACTTCATTGCCAAAGTTAACAATCTATGGAATATTGCGATATCAGATATTTCCCCTGGCCTAAAAATTAGAATTCCCTGCAGTGCCATTGAGCGAGCAGCCCAACAATGACGGCGTAGCCTTGTATAGGACACTCCATATAGGCAGCTTGCACCGCGTCATGTGACCTAGATGTATAAGAAAACATCCTGTTTTGTATGGAGAAGGCCGCTATCGAAGAGAAGGCATAGACTTGTGATTCAAGTAGGACATTGAATTAATTAAAGGACGTAGAATTTCTCTAGTAGACCCAACAATCCGGCTATCTCAAATGGATTCTGACGATCGTTTGTAAACATGGATCCGCTACCCAATTGTAACTTATCAGCAAAACTTTTGACGTGCTACAATCATTTAGATTATGACGGATTTCGAGGGCTTGCCAAGGAAGCAAGTGAAGAGGGAGTTGAGATTGCTTAGGCAAGACAACTGGAGCTCAAATCTACGTCACACAGGACAAATATCCACTACCTGAATTGTCAGACAACTGACAAACAGATAGCTAACTAACTACAAGTTGTGGCAGACATGCTCCGCCCTGTTTCAACTCCAAACGGAAAGAGTTGCGGCAGGACCTCATTCAGACGAGACCTGCCTGCCAATCGTCTCTATGTCCGATTTATAGCGCAGGGGAAAATCGCACGAATGACTAGACTACTCGACCACTTGATGCAATAACCATACCCCAAAGCGCTGTTGCTATTTCCGGAGAATCACATGTATGCGCATTGTCAGCCGCCAGTGTTCTCACCACCGGGTCGATTGAGCTCTGCTTGCCAGTCGTTCCCCGACCTAGACGAAATTCCCAGGACGGAACCAACACGGCGACAGTAGCTCCATCGTCGTCTGCAGTCCGCATAACGCTGTTGCTGCAGGGGCAAGCCCTGTTTTCTCATCCCTTCATTTCGTCCTCTAGGCCAATCGATCATGAGGCCAACGAGGGTATAATTGACGAGGCACACTCATCGACAGGGACGGGGCTCCGTAGATCACCGGAATATGTACGGCCGCATGAAGAGCTGATATAGGTCGAGGGGGAATGGATAATTGCATACGGTCCGTCGGCGTCGCGAAGGGATAGAGTGCCACTGCGTACCTCTCTTAAACACTTACAGACCTAGCAACCACTGGCCGATGCGGATCGCGGCCGCAATAGTCTGGTCGGTCAGCGAAGCTAACCAGTTCGATCCTGGCCTTCCTCGGTTCCGAAATTGTGCGGACGCCATCAGCCAAGGCTGGCAAGACTCTCACTCGGCCTTTGCGCCCCCGAGGCAGATTTGAAGCCCTGCTGCTAAAAGGCAATTGTCCAGAAAGAGCATAGGGTGAATGCACCGGGAGACTACGGAGTAGCCAACAATGTGGGAAATAACACAGCCTATTTTACCACTAGACGATAACAAAAACCATGATTCCTGTTTAGGGCCTAGGGAGGCCATATCCCATTTCGACAAACAATCCATACTGCATTGCGGAAGATTCCCTGAGAAGCACAATAATAGAAAGGAAACACCGTATCAGCCTAAGGCGAAATACCAAGACATAAAAAGCCCTCCTCTCGCAGATATATTTAGGTAGGATATCAATAAATTACCTTGTACAGTTTGTTTTGTAGATTTTAATTGATAATAAGCAAAGTCGGTGGGATTTCAAGGCATTCATCCGTATGATTCAGGCATCAATTTGCTGACTCATGACCCCATGTCTCTACACCGCCCAGAAGGTTCTGCCGGGTCCGCGGAATTTTTTTTATCTTTCCTCTTGAGGAATTAGACCGCAATCTGCAACTGCACGATTCGGTTTTGCCAGTTTAAGAATGGCGCCAATCAAGCGCAAGGGGAATGCCCCCGAAGAAAATACTTCCCGCCAGCCGCAAAAACGTGCTAAAGTTGGAGCGGAGGAGGTCAAGAAAGACCACAAGAAGTCAGACGATGCTACCACATCCACCGCTGGGAAAGCTTCAGAACTTTCCGTGCTGCGTGATGACGAGCCATCGTTCCCTCGTGGTGGCGCAAGTGTTCTGACACCATTGGAGCGCAAGCAAATTCAAATCCAGGCCAACAGAGATGTCTTGTTCGAGCAGAAAGAATCTGGAAACAAGAAACCCACTCAGAAGACGCCTTCAAACGAATTCGCCGATGAAAGTGACAATGATGTTGAAATGGAGGACGAAGAAACCACCACGGCTACCAAGAAGTCGCGCAAGAAGAAGTCAAAGAGCAAGAAGTCCGCGGACAAGGAAACTGATGACAAGCAAGATGTTCGCATCGAGGGTCTTAGCTTCAAGGTACGTGCTAACAAAGTTTTACCATCGCATCACTCTAACAATTCCAGCGCATTGTACCCGGAGCCATGATCCTGGGTCAGGTCTCGAGTATCAACGCCCACGACATCGGCCTTTCACTGCCCAACAACCTTACCGGCTACGTCCCTCTCACATCCGTTTCGAAGGGCCTCGAAGACAGACTTGAGAAGATGTTGAACGACGAAGGTGAAGATGACGATGCTGAGGACAGCTCCGACGACGAGAGCTTTGAGTTGAAGGATCATTTCTATTTGGGTCAATACCTGCGGGCATTCGTTGTGTCTACTGGCAGCAACCCCGATGATCCAAAGGCAAAGGGCAAGAGGCGAATTGAGCTTTCGGTCGACCCTAGACAAACAAACACCGGCTTCTCGAAGTCCGATCTTGTTGTGAACTCGGCTGTCCAAGCGTCCGTTGTCAGTGTAGAAGATCACGGTGTGGTTATGGATCTTGGCATTGAAGGTTCAGAACTAAAGGGCTTCATGTCCTCCAAAGAGACCGACCCCAGTGTGGATTATTCTAGCATCAAGGAAGGCTCTGTTTTCCTTTGCATGGTCACTGGTCAGAACCCCGGTGGCAATGTCATCAAGCTGTCCTCCAACTTCCAAACATCCGCCTCGATCAAGAAGTCCAACTACCTCAGCTCGGCCCCTACGATCAACACTTTCCTCCCCGGTACCGCCGCAGAAATTCTTCTCACGGAAGTCACATCGAACGGAATGATCGGAAAGATTATGGGAATGCTCGACGCAACCGTTGATCTGGTCCAGTCTAGCATCAATGGCAAGATTGACCTGGAGAAGAAATTCAAGATTGGTGCAAAAATCAAGGGTCGTATTATTTCAACTTTCCCCGCCGCTGAGCCTCTCAAGGTCAGCTTCTCTATGCTCGATCACGTGCTCAAGCTCTCATCCGATGCTCGCGGTCCCGGTTCTTCTGATGATGCACCTGCTATCTCCGCCATTATCCCTGAGGTCAAGGTCGTGAAGGTCGATCACGGTCTGGGTGTCTATGCTCGGATTGGAGAGACAAAGCATATGGGCTTCGTTCACATGTCGAGACTCTCTGATGGCAAGGTCGAAACAATTGATGAAAGTTCTGGAGCTTTCCAGCTGGACGCCGTCCACGAGGCAAGAGTCATTGGGTACAACTCGATTGATAACCTCTACATTCTCTCATTTGAGAAGAGCGTTATCGAGCAGCCCTTCCTTCGCGTCGAGGATGTGAATGTGGGTGCTATTGTAAAAGGAAAGGTTGAGAAGCTTCTGATCGGTGCCGATGGTATGAATGGATTGATTGTCAACTTGGCCGACGGAATCACCGGTCTTGTTCCCTCCATGCACTTTGCGGATACCATGCTTCAGTTCCCAGAGAAGAAGTTCCGCGAGGGCCAGAAGCTTTCGCTGAGAATCCTCTCTGTGAACCTCGAAAAACGCCAAATTCGTTTGACCCTGAAGAAGAGCTTGCTCAACAGCGAGTCTACTATCTGGAAGGACTACAAAGATATCACTCCTTCGGCTCAGTCTCCTGGTACCATTGTCAACCTTCAGAGTCATGGTGCTGTTGTGCAGTTCTACGGTGAGGTCCGTGGTTTCCTTCCTGTTTCTGAGATGAGTGAAGCCTACATCCAGGATCCGGCCCAGCACTTCAGACTCGGCCAGGTTGTCAATGTTCATGCTCTGAGCGTGGATGCATCCCTTGGAAGACTTGCTGTCTCGTGCAAGGACCCCTCGACATTTACCGAGAAGTATCGTGAGGCCTTTGAAAACCTCCACCCCGGCCACCTTGTTACTGGAATCGTCTTCGAGAAGTCTAATGATGATGTACTCCTCAAGCTTGACGAGTCGGGCCTCGTCGCTCGTCTCGACGCTCAACACCTCATCGACGGGCCCCCATCGAAGCAAAGCTCGATGTTGTCTAAGCTCCGCGTCGGACAGAAGCTGAACGATCTTTTGGTCCTCAACATTCAGCGCGCTCACCGTCTTATCAAGGTTTCTAGCAGGGCCAGCTTGAAGAAAGCTGCCAAACAGAAGAACATCCCGGGCCAGTTCGAGGAAGTCCAAGAGGGCTCCCTTGTCACAGGATTCGTCCGCAACATCACACCCGACGGTGTCTTCGTTGAATTCCTCGGCGGCCTCACTGGCTTGCTCCCCAAGCGTCTTATTGAAGACGCCAACCTCGAGCAGCCTCACTACGGGTTGACCAAGGCGCAAACGATTGTTGTCAATGTCCAGTCTGTGGATCAGGAATTCAAGCGCTTCATTCTGAGTATGAAGCCCGTTCAGGCTACCCAGGCCGCTCCCAAGAAAGCGGTCAAGCAGACTGACGAGACCGTTGCCAACCCCGTCGACGACAACATCAAGAGCATGTCCGATTTCACCTTCGGCAGAATCGTTGAGTGCAAGGTCGTCTCTATCAAGGCAACCCAGGTCAATGTGCAGCTCGCGGATAACATCCAGGGTCGCATTGATGTGTCCGAGATATTCGACGACTGGAAGGACATCAAGGATCGCAAGCAGCCCTTGCGATTCTTCAAGGCCAAGCAGACTCTCTCCGCCAGAATCCTTGGTGTTCACGATGCCCGTAACCACAAGTTCCTCCCCATCAGCCACCGCACTGGAAAGTACCCTGTGTTCGAGCTCTCTCTCAAGCCAAGCTACGTCAAGGCTGCCAACCCTACCCCTCTTAACATGGAGCAGGTTCAAGTCGGCTCCTCTTGGATAGGCTTCGTCAACAATGTTGCCGATGACTGCCTCTGGGTTAACCTGTCCCCCAACGTGCGCGGCAGACTGCGCTTCATGGATGCATCAGACGATCTATCCTTGTTGACTGATATTGAGAAGAACTTCCCCATCGGCTCTGCTTTGAAGGTCCAGGTCACTGCTGTTAATGCCGAGAAGGGCCACCTCAACCTCTCTGCAAAGCAAGGATACGACAAGCTCACATTTGGAGATATCTCCGTTGGCATGATCTTGCCTGGTCGTGTTACCAAGGTCACTGAGCGCCAACTCGTTATGCAGCTCGGCGAGTCACTTGTCGGCGCGGTCAACCTGATCGACCTCGCAGATGACTACTCCAAGGCCAACCCTACCGTACACAACAAGAATGAGGTTCTCCGAGCCTGCGTTATTGCTGTTGACAAGTCCAACAAGAAGATTGCCTTGTCGTTGCGCCCCTCCAAGGTCATGAGCTCCTCTCTGCCCGTGCAGGACCGTGAGATCTCTTCGCTCAAGGAAGTCAAGCCCACCGACATCATTCGCGGCTTCGTCCGACGAGTCACCGATTCCGGTCTCTTCGTGGCAGTCAGCCACGATATCACAGCTTACGTCCGCGTGTCTGATCTTTCCGATTCGTATCTCAAGGAATGGAAGGACTCATTCCAGCCGGATCAGCTCGTCAAGGGCAAGGTCACATTCGTTGACGCCGAGCAAGGCAAGCTGCAGCTGAGCTTGAAGGAGTCTGTTCTAGACCCCAACTTCAAGGCTCCGATCACTCTTAAGGATCTTAAGGATGGTCAGATTGTCACCGGCAAGGTCCGCAAGGTCGAGGAGTTCGGTGCTTTCATTGTTATTGATGGGTCGTCAAACATCAGCGGTCTCTGCCACCGCAGTGAGATGGCTGAGAAGCGCGTCGAAGATGCTCGCAAACTGTACGACGAAGGCGATGCTGTTAAGGCCAAGGTCATTAAGATCGACCTCGAGTCGAAGAAGATCTCATTCTCACTCAAGGCTTCCCACTTCCAGGATGAAGAGGAAGACGACAGCGAGGATGAGGACAGCATGAGCATTGATGGTCTTGGCGGTGTCGAACTCGGCGAGGACGACAGCGAAGACGAGGATAACGATGATGAATCCATGGGAGGTGTTGATGTGGAGGATGACAGCGAGGAGGAGGAATCTGAGGATGACGATGAAGATGTCCCGATGCAGAAGCCCAGCAAGGCCGGAGGTCTCGGTGCGAGCGGCTTCGACTGGAGCGGCACCGCCCAGACCGATGCCACCGCGCGCTCCGACAGCGAAGATGAGGGCTCCAAAAAGAAGAAGAAGAAGAACCGCAAGGCCGAGATCCAGGTGGACCGCACCGGCGACTTGGACGCCAATGGCCCTCAGTCCGTTGCCGACTTTGAGCGACTCCTTCTCGGTGAGCCAGACTCCTCGCTGCTGTGGCTGCAGTACATGGCCTTCCAGCTTGAGTTGGGTGAGATCGAGAAGGCTCGCGCCATTGCTGAACGTGCTTTGCGCACTATCACCATGGGCCAGGATGCTGAGAAGCTGAACATCTGGGTTGCACTGCTGAACATGGAGAACACCTACGGTGACGACGACAGTCTCGAGGAGGTCTTCAAGCGTGCCTGCCAGTACAACGAGCCCCAGGAGATCTATGAGCGGATGATCAGTATTTACATCCAATCCGGCAAGAACCAGGTATGTGTTATCTATGTCGAATTTTACTCTCCACGGATGCTAACAATCTCACAGAAAGCAAGTGATCTCTTCTACGCAGCTCTCAAGAAGAAGGTTTCCTCCCAGTCCCCCAAGTTCTTCTACAACTACGCCAGCTTCCTCTTCGACACCATGGCCTCCCCCGACCGTGCTCGGGCTCTACTCCCGCGCGCCCTTCAGTCCCTCCCTGCCCACACCCACGTCGAAACGACCTCCAAGTTCGCCCAGCTTGAATTCCGCTCCGCCAACGGAGACGTCGAGCGCGGTCGTACCGTCTTCGAGGGTCTCCTGTCCTCATTCCCCAAGCGCATTGACTTGTGGAACGTGCTCCTGGACCTGGAGATCAAGGTCGGCGATGCGGAGCAAGTGCGCCGTCTCTTCGAGCGCGTCCTTGGTCTGCAGAGTGGCAAGAAGGGTCCCGTTAGCGTGGACGCTAGCAAGAAGCTCAAACCTAAGCAGGCCCGATTCCTGTTTAAGAAGTGGCTTTCCTTTGAGGAGAGTCTAGCTGCTGCCAATGGAGATGAGAAGATGGTTGAGGAGGTCAAGGCACGGGCTGTTACCTATGTCAAATCTCTTCAGGAGTAAATCTATAAAAAAAAGTGTGTTCATGTGAACCCATGGGTGTTTGGGGCCTGCATTTGTGAATTTCAATGTTGTACTTGTATATAGCGATGGAAATATCTTTATTTTTGTTATTCCCAGGTTTTCTCAATTTTGATCAATCAGCATCAACAATCCAGCACGTGTATATTCCACCAGTCCACGGGGTACTACCACCTACATATGTACCTACATATGTAGGTAATAGACTACTAGTAGATCCATGGATGTAACCAAATTGACCTTGAGACTACCACGGATCCAATCACCGCTTCTTAACATCATGGCTGCCTTGCGGTTTTAACCTCCGAACATTATAATGACAGCCCTGGTACTTTCGGTTTTTTTCTCTCTTTGCTTTCAGGTCACTCCATGATGAACTCTTCCCACCCATCCCAGACTAGACCAGGATCTAGTCTTCACTTCGATCCATACAGAGACTCGCTAGATACAGAAGATCCGAAGCTCAATGTGCATGACCCCATTGAGCTAGTGGGGTATCCGGCCCGCTCATGGCGTCAAGTCTGGACGGCCTTGGCTTGGTCTTCAACGTCTCTCGGGCTGTTGGAAGACCCATCTAAGCACAAGCGATCTTGTCGATCGCGATACTTACATGGTCTACGGCGTGCAATTATCGGAATATTCATTATGCTGTGAGTTTCAAGAACTATACAGGCCGTCTCTATGAGGAAGACCCACTGACCTATCACCGATAACAGAGGCATCATCCAATTCATCTCCATCGCCTGCGGTATCGTCCTCTCATTCTTCCCAGATGAATACGACCGCGCAGTTCATAATTGGATATCCAGCGCCGACAACGCAACCACTGTAGACAATACGCGCTGGCCCACCGATATCTCGCGCGATATCGTCCCTGTTGGCTGCCACTCCCACAACGACTACTGGCGCCGGGTGCCACTGTACTCCGCACTGCAGGCGGGATGCATAGGCGTCGAAGCCGACGTCTGGCTCTTCGACGACGAGCTCTACGTCGGTCACACCACATCGTCCCTGACAGAGCGCCTAACCCTGCAATCCATGTACATTGACCCGCTAGTAACCATCCTCGAGCGCCAGAATCCAACCACCAAATTCAACCGGGGAGGCGACAGCTCTATACATGGCGTATTCGACACAGACCCGGCCCAACCCCTAATCCTCCTAATCGACTTCAAAACCGCAGGCGCGGCAACCTGGCACGCCGTCACGAAGCAACTCGCTCCGCTCCGTGACCGCGGTTACCTAACCCACTTCAACGGCGACGAGCTCATTCAAGGCCCCATCACCGTCGTCGGAACGGGAAACACACCCTTCAACGTCGTCATCGCAAACACCACCTACCGCGATATCTTCTTCGACGCCCCGCTCGACAAACTCGTTGACACCGACCAACCAGACAACAACCCCCAACTAGACGCAGCCCTCGTCCCGGGCACAGATCTCGGCCAAGGCCAATCCGGCATGCCGGCTGCCATCGCCGCATCCACCTTCAACACCTCGAACAGCTTCTATGCCTCCGTGTCTCTCAAAAAGGCAATCGGCCGCCCCTGGCCCTTCCACTTCACGCAGCGCCAGATGGATATCATCCGCAGCCAGGTGCGCGTTGCGCACCAGCATGGCTTGAAGGTACGCTACTGGGCGCTGCCGAGCTGGCCTCGCAGTCTGCGGAATCATGTCTGGCGCGTGCTTGCGCAGGAGGGTGTGGATATTTTGAATGTTGATGATTTGGTTGGTGCTACTAAAGGGGATTGGAATACGGCTGTTTTCGATTGGTGGCCATGATGGCCATGCACCCGTAGCTGGTGGGTTCATTTTTTTCCCCCTTTCTTTTCGCTCTTACTTTTGATGAAATATGGGTTTATGGACTGGCGTTGGAGTTTTCCTGATTTACGATACCTCACCTTTTTCCATTGGCTTTATTGCTTTATCTTGTTTGATAGACTACCTCATATTTCATTGGTGCTATACATCCAATATCAAGATGTTTATGGAGCTTTCCACATACTCATACTGATACTACTTTGATAACAAAGAGACAGAAGAGATAATAATGTGGATGAAAACAACTCTTCAGTTCAAAATTCGTCACAATCATAATTTTGGTCTCCGTCGCATCCAGCGCAGGAGAGGTAATGCTATTCCTCAATCTGGGATGTGTTTCCCAGTGCACATGATAGCCGATATCCAGCATTGACGCCATAATGCTTCCAGTAAAATCAAATCAAAATCACATACACAAACCAAAGAAGAAAGGACACAGTCCTAAAACTTCCTCAATCAACGGGCTCTCGACCAGCGGACAGCCCCCCTAACGCCAACAAAACACATCAGATATAGCTACCCGTGGGACGTGAGATCTCATAGACAGCAGAGCGCCTCTTCACCGAACCCGCGGATAACGCTACCCTCTTCCCGAATCAGTCCACCAAGCCAGTGCTTCGCAGTCTCAAAGTCCTTAGCACCGAACTTGACAAGCACGAAGCCAGCGCGCACCCGCGCAGCCGTCCACGTAACATCACCCTTATGGCTAATCGAAGGCTCAGGCACCGATGACGGCGCATGGTCCGACCAATTACGGCTGCCGATGCGAGGCTGCGACTGGAACTGATTCAGCATGAACGAACCAAGCGCCTCGAACACAGGGCCGGAGAGGATAAGTGTGCCGACGACGCCATGCGGGCGCGTGCGCTCCGCGATGATATTCAGCGGGGTTAGGCCAGCCGGCGCCTGCGGCGGCAGGTCGACGGGATTTTCTAGACCGGTATGGGTGGTGCTGTAGCTTGTGTTTTCGTTTTCGTCGTCGTCTTCCAGGTCTCCGGATTCATCGTCGAGGATTACCGAGTCGCGGAGGAGGAGTCGGCGTTTGCCTTTGTCGTCTTCGGCCCAGACTTCGTTGCGTCCGCGCCAGAACTGGAAGTTCCAGTCCTCGCCGCGTGAGGTGCGGCCTTGCGTTACCCAGTCTAACACGCAGAGGCTGCTGCGCTCGGTGCCTTTTGCGGTGGCGTCTACGGTGAAGGTTTGGACTTGGGCGTAGCGGCTGTGTTGGAAGGGGACGGAGGGGTCTGGGAGGTAGCAGAGAGCTGCTTGGCGGCCAATGTTGACGTCTAGGGTTTGCTGGCTCATATCGGAGAGGTGGTCGTTTGCGGGCATTTGATCCCGGTGGCCTTTGATTACATTTGGTGCTGTTCCGCTGTTGTTTGGGGTTGTTTTGAAGATCTTGGTGCTGCCTTGCGGCGTTGTTACCACCATTCGCGTCTTAGGCTCGAGCGTGATGGATACTTCAATGTGGTCGCCTGGTAGGAGCCCGCCGCCGTAGGTGAGGAGGTAGAGGTGGACAGGATTGGAGGGACGTGTGTCTGAGAGGGCGGAAGAATCTGGGGACGGAACGAAGCCGCCGGTGCGCGGGACCAGCTTCAATGGGTATTTGTAGGTGAGGGTTGTGAGGGTGGGATTGTTCGGTGGGAGGAGGGAGAGGACGACTTTGCCCTGCCCTGGCTTCGCAATGGAAGACTGAAAGGGCGAGGGAATGGGCGCTAGTGGTTGTCGCATGGTGATGGATGTGAGGTTTTGAGGCGACGAGGCAAAAAAGTGTGGCGGCTAGTAGGTACTATCAATATGAAGAAGAAATCGGTTGACAGTATAATGTTTATATTAAGCAATGAAGCCAGACCATGCTAGAAAAGAGTTCGAGGGGGGGGGGGAGTTGGTATATAAAATGGGAAAATGACGATTCCTTAGTCATAAACAACCCATCTCCGTCACTCCGTCAACTTGTCAAGCGGGGGATATCCCCAAAGGACCTGGTTTTCCTTGGCTCTCTGAATGAGGACTCCGGAGCATAACTAGGAGACAAAATAACTGGCAGAGAATGAAAGGTAGAGGTTTCTATGACAAAGAGTATCTCCGCACTGGCGTTAGACTTCGAGGGTTACCTCTTGGCAATGCACTTGAATGTCATTTGCCCTGCTGATCTGCACCTCTGCACGGCTTGTTTAATTATAGTCTGACACCTGGGCAGTCTGGGCATTTAAAAGGGATCATGGGACATCATATTACCATAGATTCATAGTAAAGCAGCTACTAGTAGTATATGCTATGTATCAAATTGGATAGTTTGACAATTTTGTGATACAATTGTCTTTATGCAAGGCACTCCACCTCAATTGCCGAATAGAAACGAGAATAACATACATGTGGGCTTGGATTATAGTTACCTATTTCCCTTATAGTTCGCCTATAGGCATGCTAATAGTATTAAGCAACTCCCCTTGAATTAATTCGAAATCTCTGCAGCCTATTCTAGCTAGCAAATGGTGTCTTTGCACAAAAAATATAGTAATCAAATAAGAGCTGAAAGACTAATGAGTTTTGGTAGGATTGGCCTTGGAAAGACATGTGTGGCATTCACTCTTAGTTCGCACTACTTATACCACCCTTTCACTCCTTTGTAGATCTATTTCAATGGTTTATATTTCCCCGTGGGGGGCGACCTCGATGACTGGACTCACTTGAAGTCCGTCAACCTGGACTACCTAGGTAATACCCTACTTTCCGAGATCACCGCTAGTGCTTATATATCCACTATCGTACAGTCACAGCCCTCCTGAGAATGAGGGGAGGCTACATTAACCCCTTGCCACCTTGTAAAGATGTAACGGAATAGTAGAAAAGAGTAAGGTAGTTATGTATAAAACGACTGAAGCTCGGTATTGATGCTCAGTATTGATGCACCCGTGGACTCGCCCATGACTACATATGTACACGGCATACCTCGGTAAGTCAATAGCTCATAAGTATATCTCGTGAATATGCTACTATGGGGAAAAGAGGAGAGTCAAACTTCGTGATGTGGAAAGAGATGTGAGAAGGAAAGAAATGGGAGGAGCTATAGGACTTTCTAACCTTGGAAGGTTATATCGGGAAGGGCTTTTATGAGGCAGCTCTTCTCACTCCCTTCAATGTTTCCATCATCCGTCCACTTTTTTCCTTGATACAATCATGTTTATCCTCAGATTCCAAAATGAATAATTCCAATGGCGTTCCCTCAGAGAGGTTGTACGTCCAGGATGTAGATAGTAACTAACTAACTATGTAGTGCTCAACTATACAAATAGACACCTGATCTACAAGGCAATAAAACATCAACTGATTACGTAACTAATATAAACAGCCCTCGGAGCCTCAGGCCTCCAGGCACGATGTCGCGTCCCCCCCCACGCTGAGACCCGGACCGTTTTCTGCCCAAGTGCCTCCATTTGATTGACCTTGTCTCAACACGGTCAGAGCGCGTGTCGCAAATATTCGACGTCTCGAATTGCAGACTTCCTTCCTTCTCCCCCAACTTTTATTTGCTTGGTCGTACCAGACCCGCGCGTTGCACGAGCGCGTTCCCGACCTGAACTGGCAGCGACACCTACCAACTTTGTTGAAAGCCATTGATCTGGTCAGCAGCTCTATCTATCTGATCTCGTACCCATATAATACACCCATCCCCCATCATGGATATCGATAACCCACCTCTATCAAGCCCCAGTGGCCCGTCATCGACCCCTGCCGAAGACCGACGCAAATCCGGTCGACAGACGCGACGGCCCGAAGTATTCTCGCAGACTACACATTCTGCCGAAGAACAAGCTGCCGGTGGAAAGCGCAAGCGGGGCGAGGCGCGTGAGGACGGCGATGAGGACGCGCCCGAGTCCGACAGTGATGATATCGGCGACGACGAGACCGATGAGGAGGAATTGAAAGAGAAGCGACGCACCGCACGTCGAACTGGTGCTAACAAATCCAAATCGAAACCTAAGACCAAGGGATCCCACGCTTCGAAGAAACCCAAAGTTGCAAGTAACGGATTAGGGAGACAGCTCGCCTTCCGACCAGCCACCAATGGCCGACTGCCCGCTGCCCGTCCCCGGAAACCGAAAGTACGACCTAGTCTCGCGGCAGGTGAACGCGGATTGTTCGGTGAGTGATATCTTCCTTTGTGCATACAAGTTCGATCCCCTGGCTAATACCAGATTTAGCCGAGGTGTTTGCGAAAAGCAGCAATGCCGATACAGTGGCCGCTCAGTGGCTGTCTCAATACCAGCGCAACAATGGGCAGGCCATGCGGGACCTGGTCAACTTCATACTGCGATGCACCGGTACCGATCTTGAGATCGACAATAATGAAGTGGAAGACATTGACAATGCCCCGGGCCGAATCGGAGACTTGCAGAACCTTTACCAAGCAGAAGGCATCACCGAATACCCTATCATCTCCAAAGCGAAGAAGTTCAGAGCGTTCTCAGTCCTCCTCGAAGAATTCATTGTCGCACTGATACAAACTTTCCATGCCTCTTCCATTCTGTACACCGATGATACCCTGCTCGAAAACATTCAGATCTGGATCTCTTCCATGTCAACATCAAAATGCCGACCATTCCGGCATACGGCGACCTTGATCTCCCTCGCAATAATGAACGCTTTATGTGATATTGCACGTGAGGTGACGACAAGTGTATCTACCTCCAGAAAACAACTCGAAAGTGAGAAGAAAAAGAAGACGGTAAACAAGGGCCGTGTGGAAGCAATTAAAACGGCTGTGTCAGAGGGCGAACAGAAGGTGGAGCGACTAGACGAGTTCCTGCAGGATGGGTTCGATACTGTATTTGTCCATCGCTACCGGGACATTGACGGTCAGATCCGTGCCGAGTGTCTGACAGCTCTAGGCGGATGGATTCGCACATACCGAGAAATCTTCTTTGAGGGCCAGTATCTGCGATACCTGGGATGGACTCTCGCCGATGTCATTGCGCAGACCAGACTTGTTGCCTTGACTGAGCTTTTAAGCCTTTATGAGAACCGTGACAACATTGCTGGTTTGCACTCATTCACTGAGCGATTCCGGCAGCGAATCGTGGAAATTGCTGTTCAAGATGCTGATGTTTCGGTGCGTATGGCCGCGATTGAGTTGCTTAACCACCTTCGTGAAGGGGGCTTACTCGAGCCAAATGATATTGATGCCGTCGGTCGATTGGTGTTTGATTTGGACCCCCGAATTCGGAAAACAGCTGGACGCTTCTTTGTTGCCAATATTCAAGACGCATACGAGTCAATCACCGAGGAAGTGGGGGAGGAGATCGCTGAATTGCTGGCTGATGATGATGAAGACGACTATGAATCGCCTAAGCACTCATGGATCAAGTTTAAATGCCTCACCGAGCTCTTCCAGGCCTACGATGCACAACAAGCCGAACAGCAATCAGAGCCAATGTCTCGTGATACACTGCTGGGAGCAGCTGTAGAATCGCGTTTTGCTCTCGCGACTGAGGCTATCTTCCCCCACCTGGAAGAGCTTGCTCAGTGGCCGTCGCTGGCTGGCTATCTACTTTATGACCACTCTCAGATCACTGATACACCATCTGAAGATGATACTGCAGGAGTTGTAAAGAACATGTACAAAATGCAAGAGGGACAAGAATCTATCCTTCTGGAGGTTCTCTGTGCTGCAGTCAAGCTCCGCATTCTCGACATCGCCAAGTCTGATATCGACAAGCGCGGGCGTAAGACCAAGGCCCTGACAACCAAGATTTCCGAGCTCCAAGAGGAACTTTCTCACAACCTTGCTCAGATCATCCCTGGGCTTCTCAATAAGTTCGGATCCACACCGGAAGCTGCTTCTGTCGTTCTGCGACTGGAACACCTTGTGGACCTGAATACAATCCAGGATCTCCAAAAAGACGCTACAGCTTATACCTCGTTGCTCAATGATATTAACAAGCAATTCTTGACTCACTCGGATCAGGATGTTCTGGCCGAAGCTAGTGTGGCTTTCCTGCATGCCAAGAGCTCCGAGGAGATGCGAGAGGCGCTAGAGAGCAAGGTCCAAGAGTTATGGGATGATATGGTGGAGGCACTGGCTGCCTTGTCTCATAAGAAGGATGTCCAGGAAGGTGGCTCAATATCCGATCCCACTCTCACCGACTTGACCAACACTGTCTCTCGAATTTCGAACCTCGCCGGTATCACAGATTGTGCCTCCATTCTCGAAACTGTCCCTAATTCACGATCGAAATCCAAGAAGGACCACACTGAAGCCCCATTCAACACTCTCATTCGTCTTGCCCAACGTGGTCTGCGCTTCGAAGATGATGATGAGGATATCGCCAAGGAGGAGAACGAGCTGGTATCAAGCAGTATCCGGTCGTTGCTTTTCTATTTCATGTGGAAGGTGCAGGCACTGTCCACAGCTTTGAATGATGGAAAAGCCTCCTTCAGCACATCCTACTTCGAAGCACTGACAAAGAGCCGCGAAACTTTCGCCTCAACGCTCATTAACATCATGGAAACGCGCCCCGGGCTGGACGACCTCCGCTTCACAGCAACTACAACATACCTAGACCTGCAAACGCTCTTCAGCACGCTCCGCAACATCGGCCAAGATAACGGCAACGACGAAGACGTCCTGTTCCAAACCCAAGGCCTAATCCATGACATCGGACCTGACACCCAAGCCCTCATCACCAAGATCCACGGCATAGCCGAGCGCACATGTGCCAAGAAATCAAGGCTCAACCTCGAGCCCGCAGACGACGACGCCCCGGCCTCAGAAGACGAGCTCGACTCTGAAGATGAAGCCAACGACTCTGAAGACGAAGCAGTCATCAACGACCGCCTCCGCAGCAGCATCGTCGCCGAACAGCGCCTCTGCGAGCTGACAGGCAAGCTCGTCCTCGCCATCATCGCCCGTATCATCGACGCCTCCGGCTCCAAGCGCGGCGCCCTGAAAAAGCGTCTCCTCCGCAATAAGACCGCCCTCGGCCACAACTACCGAGAGGTCCTGTCTTACCTGGAAGAGCGTAAGCCCCGCAGTGCCCCCCGCGCCAAGGGGAAACAGCCTGCCAAGGCTGCTGCTTCTCCTGCCAAGGGCTTCAAGTCTACTGAGCACATTGATGATGATGATGATGAGCATGATCACCCTGAGCCTATTGAGGAAGATGACGATGAGGATCTGCGTGCGCGCGGACTTGTCGAAGAGGATGTTGAACATGAGAATGGGGACGAGGACGAGGAACTCACTCCTGCGCCTGAGGCTGATGAGGATGAGGTGATGGGTGACTGATCTAGTTTGTCTCATTTGACGTTAACGTGTGCCTGAACAAAATGATCTTTTTTTCCTGTTGTTCAATTGCGTATTTCTTTCTTTGTTTCATTTTTTTTCTCCTACTTTCTTCCCTCTCTTTTATGGATTATGGCTTGAATTAACTGTATCTCTCTTCTTTGCCCTCGTTTGCGTGGATACATATGGACTTCTTTCCAACCTGTATCTTATACACTTCTCTTGATCTTTGCTTTGCTGCTACTTCGCTGACTTGATCTCAATCTATTCCCGAGGTCCCCTCTGGTCTTTGTAATTTTTGAAACCTTGATATGGAATTGTAGTATAGTAAGATGTAAATGGGTCTGCTATCTTTGGTACATGTAGATTTTGTTTTGTATTTCATCTTTCACTGTCTTAGGGCTTCTTCTAGTTAGTATGTTAACATTGAAAGCTTGCAAGTTCAGCATCAAATTCGTGTCCTCTTTTGAGAGGAAAAATTACAGATACAAATTGTCTAGGGAAGATAGGAATATTACTGGGATACAACTACAGAAAGAAAGGTTGATCGAGTGAAATCTGGCATTTTTCCTGGCGAACTGCAAAGAGTACCACGAGAATAGCACAATAACATTTTCAGGGGCGTGATTGGAGCAGATTATGAGCGTGGTACGAGCAAAATGTGCCATCACACCCCTGTTGCCAGCGAGCGAGGAAGTGCCCGCGCAGGAGACCAATGCCCCGTCAAGGAACACCATAGTCAGGGGACATTAACGTAACTGGAGAGAGAAAACCGATCCTGCAAACAAATGCGCCTGTGTATGAGGATGCTAAAGGGGTGGGGAAGGGGATACATGATGGTGAATCTTGTTTATCGTGAAATCAAAAAAAAGAAGAAGGGGGGGAAGTGAAATTCGTGACAAGAGAGGATGAGGGAATCAAATGAGCACCAGAAACTGTTTAGACGCAACGCCAGACCGAGAAGTAGCTTGGTCGAAGCGCACGAGAGGCGTCGAGGCTGTATGCGAGCGACCTGGCCTCTCGGTAGCCAGTGGTGCCCCGCCCATGCGAGGATACGCTGGGCGTAGCTTCGACGTTTGGTTTTGAAAAAAAGAAGAAGATACAGGGAGGGGGATAGTGCATGGGGAAAAGACAAGTCTTTACATATCCATGGTATCACCGCCGTTGCCGAAGTTGAAGCCACCAGGTTGCTGCTGGCCAGTGCCGAGAGAGAATCCGGTCTGGGTCTGTTGGGGAGCAAGCTCCTCGATGTCACCACCAGCCTCGTCCTCGTCAGAGAAGTACTTCTCGATGATGTTGTAAGCCTTCATGTAGATCTCCTCGTTGGCGTTGTTCTGGCAATCGTGGATCTTCTCCATGCCACCGGCCTCTTCGATGAAGAGAGCGTAGCGGTTGACACGAGCCTCGCCGGGCTGACCAGCCTCCTTGTCCATGTCTCCGACCTTGAGGATGTTCTCAAGACCATCGAGAGCAACCTGGATGATCTTGTTGTCAGGGCAGGCCAGGAGATCACACAGGGGCTTGATGCACCCTTGCGAAACAAGGTAGCGGATCTGATCGGGCTTCTGGAGACCACCGGAAGTGGCGTTGGAGATAGCCCAGCAAGCCTCCTTGCGGGTCTTGAAGTCACCATTGGCAAGCAGGTTGATAAGGGGAGCAATAATGCCAGCATCGATGACTGCCTGGATCTGACTGGAGTTGCCAGCAGTGACGTTGGAGATAGTCCAGCAAGCTTCCTTGCGGATACCATCCTTGGTAGAGCTCAGAAGGGAGAGCAGAGCAGGAAGAGAGCCACAGTTGATGATCACCTGGGTCTGGACGTCATCACCAGTGACAATGTTACCCACGGAACGGAGCGCGGGTGTCTGGACAGAGGTAGAAGCGTGCATAAGGAGCTCTACCAGGCGACGGGGGATACCGGCCTCAATGACGGCCTGGATCTTGTCGTTGGCACCATCGGACAAATAAGAGATAGCCCAGCAAGCGTCAATCAGAACCTCGTCGTCCAGCATGTAGATGAGCTTGGCAAGGACGGGAAGGGCAGGGGCAATGGTGTTCCAGTCAGGCTGGGGAGTCTTGCCACGGCAGAAGTTACTAAGAGTCCAGGTAGCGTTGCGGAGCATGCTCAGCTTGCGGCCATCGTTGATGAGGTTAAGAAGCGGGCGCAGGGCACCGGCACCCAGAACAAAGTCACGGCAGTGAGGGCTGTCACCAGCAATGTTTCCGAGGGCCCAAACGGCCTGTTCACGAACATCGGGCTCAGGGCTGCTGAGCAACTCGACGAAGATGGGGACGGCACCAGCTTCAATGACGACCTGGGTCTGCTGGGCGGAACCGGAGGCAATGTTGGTCAAAGCCCAGGCAGACTCAAACTGAACCAGGGTGTGGGGCGAGCGAAGGAACTCGACGAAACGGGCAACGACACCGGTCTCGATAACACGCTCGATAGGGGGGTTGCGCTCCTTGGAAAGCAATTTGCGGAACTTAGTGGTGGCCTGAATCTGCTCCTCAACCTGCTCGGAGAAAACTCCCTTCACCATCTGGGGAAGCTCGACGTTGAGCTAAATAAACCATCATGTTAGCTTGGTAATTTTCAGGATGTTTTTTTTTATTGCAGTGGGGCGCGGGCTTGAAGATCCGACATGGAGGGGCTTCGTGGGCCATGGCAACAGGGCGGTGAAAAAAAATTCCTTGTTGATGATCGCATCATAAAAACAAAGAAATCTCAAAAGAACCCAGGGGGGTGGCAACCACACGATAAGCCCGTAAGAGTTCAAATGGGATAGAATGGATCAAATTCAAAAGGATCAAAGAAATTTTCCAAGACCTACCTCACTCTCAATAGCACTGGCCTCATCATCACTCTCAGTGGCGGCAGCCATGCCACCAACACCGATTCTACCATCCTGAGTTTGGATACCACGTCTCTTGGCCAAGTTCTCATCACGCTTGGCCTTGCGAATCTCAACCTGCTGTTCTTCACGACGACGGCGGAGCTCATCGGGCTTGAACTGGTTCTTGGCCTTGAACTGCGTGCGGCGATGTTCGGGAATATAGCGTTCCGCCATGATGAAGATGGAAAGAAGAAACTAAGCGCGCCGCGGGAATTATGTAGTAGGTGATGTTGAGTGGGCGCGCTGGGGGATGGAAGGAGAGTAGGAAGAAGGAAGAGAGAGGGATCTGATGTGGGGGGGAGAAGACTTCTGTGGGAGGGGAAACGATGCTATCACGTGATTGCTCTTTTTATTTACATCCACAGGTTTTGGCAACAAGCTCTTCCTCTTTGAGCTTCTGGAATTCTCCTTCTTTGGGTGTTCATTCATAGCAGTTGCTCTATGATGGATGTACATTGACAAAAACGTACATATTTTTCTGAGCTGGTTTGTGATATCTCATCGGGAGCTTGCAGGACGTCTAACCCAAGCACTTCCCATCAACAAAAGACATGGCTCCAGGTGATCTAGTGGATATTACCACTGCTTGTTCTTTACAGGGGACTTTTAATGTCCTAGGAGTGGTGGTTGATACTCTACCACTCTTTCGGACCAGAGGCTCGTCGGCATGCATCACATTCACCATCAAAGACTCCGATTTTGATGCACCTACCTGGCAAGGTGGTCTTAAAGTCAAATATTTCAATGATGATGAGAGCTATCTTCCCAATGTCAAGCTCAATGATGTAGTCCTACTACGAAATGTTCGGGTGAGTGGATTTACATGAATGCAGCAGCATAGTAAGCTGATATGATTTAGGTGTCTATCTACCAGAACAAACCAACAGGAGTTGTTTCTCAACAATCCAATGTGTCATGGGTTATTTTCCGACCAGAGCCAAGTTTGAGTTCCAGCCCGTTCATCACCAGTGGTCCTATTCCTTTCGAGCCGAGTTTGAAGGAAAAGGACCAGGCACAATCACTCCTGGATCGCGTGTCTGCCGAAGGAATCACTGTGCAACAACCCACGTCGCGCGGTGTACCCGCCTTTCAGCAGTCTTCTCATGTTCAGGCTTCCGGTCCAGCCCCAAATTCTGGAGGATTACCGTGTACCCCTATTCAGTTTGCGAAGGCCCGCCTATTGTGTCAGTTACTTGGCCAAGTTGTGAGCCTCAATACTTATGACAGCGAGAAATGCACACTATACTTGACTGATTTTACTGAGAATGAGGAGCTTGTCAACTACAAGAAACCCGGAGAAGAAGATGATGAATCAGGTCCTGAGGGGGACCGGTTTAATTACGTACAAAAGACAAAGAATTGGCCAGGCCCATGGGGCAAATTGACCATCCAAGTGACTTTATGGGAGCCGCATGCCAGCTATGCCCGACAACACCTCAAGGCAGGTGACATCGCTCTATTAACCTATGCCCGTATCAAGGAAGGCCGTGGTGGCTTGGAAGCCGCCGTTCATGAAGACAGACGATTCCCAGAGAAGATCCATGTTAGGAAGGTGGACGGTGGCAATGATGATCGTGTACAAGAATTGATGAACCGTCGGACAGAATACTGGAAGATCCACGGTGAACCCAAGGCAGATACCAAAAAGGCCAAAAAAAGGAACAAGAAAGTCGAGCAGAAAAAGGAGGCCCGGAAAGAAGATGGCCAACTGACCATGCCAGCAGTATCACGAATCAAGTTGAACCAACATGGTGAGTTTATTATCTGCTCCTAGGAGAAGCATATTGGCTGATAGATTTTTAGTCAAGACAAGAAATTACACAGTGCCTACTCTCCCTCTCGAGAAGATATTGTTGGCAGAAAGCCACCTAAACAATGCCCCCGGGGGCGTTGTCTATCAGCTCCCCTTTCAAAACGTCAATTATCACTCTCAAGTCCGAGTGGTCGACTTCTTTCCCCCAAAGGTAGAAGACTTTGCAGTTCAAACCACTAGCGCTCCCCTGTTCAGCAATCAGGAAGGCGCAATGGAGCCTAAATTTGGCTGGGAATGGCGATTTTGTCTTCTTGTGGAGGGGGTTGAGCCCAAATCTCCCAAACAACAGCCCCGAGAAGTGATGAAGCTCTATGTGTGCGGTCAAGATGGTGATTGCCTTCTTGACGATGATGCATTCAACCTTCGCGACAACCCACGGAGACTAGAAGCGATAAAGAGAAGCTTTTCCTCCTATGGGGCAACCTCGAGGAGGAAAAGTCGAAAGCCATGGCTTCTGGTCAAGAGAGTTGGGGGCGAGTGAAGTCGTGCCCATTCGAATGCTGCATCAAGGAATATGGCGTTCAGTGCACCCATGGCAAAGACCCCAATGTCATGGATGTCGACGGCGAGGTGTGCACCCACGCTGATTGCTTTGGATGGGAGAGACGGTTTGCCATGTTCGGCACGACTATCCACACATAAATTGTACAATTCCCAAAGCCTTGTAATACTATCAATTCAAATACCCCTAAATAAATATTGTGTGAATTGATCCTTTTATACTAATACAATTTAAAAATTTGAATCAATAGATAGATAGTTGAGTCTTTTGCGCCTGGAACCGTCTTTTTCACCCGCATGGAAAACAAGAAAAAACAATGTTGAATTCTCAATGACTGTATGGCAAGCCTGCTCTATGCACCGTCCATAACTCCCGAATTCTGATAATGTCATGGGTGCTTCCCTTGGACCTTTTCCCCGTGAAACCTCAAACCCGGTCACGCCGAACTCAATAGACAGTATTTTAGGACCTTATTGCAAGTGCGAAAGGTTCAGATCGCCCGAGATGAGCATAAGATTGCGAGACGGCCACTCAAATTTTCGTAACTTTGACAATGTTCGTATCAATACCATGCGCCACGGGCTCAAAGCGGCAGCTGTCGCCTCGGAAGCAAGTCTTTTTACCAGGCTCGCTCTGAGGGCAACGATGACCATAGATACACTCGACGTCATCGCATTCTAGACCAAAGCGACAGGGTGTCATGCGGGCAATGGCAGACAGAATGTGCAGGTCTTGGCGGGACAATTTGCGATCATGGTCATGATAGCAATTCTCTTCATTGGGGCATTCACCCAACAAGAAATGATAATTGCAAAGCTTGAGCTTCTTCAGTTTGTTAAGATCATCGCGAGGAATGCTCTTGAAGTCGAGCCGATCAACACGCTGGCCATACTTATTCCGTTCCACCGTCTTTGGGGGAGTTGCACCAGGCACCTTGGACCGAACAACCTGGAAATCAGAGGACTCGGGTTTATTTGTCACTGGGGCCAATGGGGCCAATGGGGCGCCCAGATTTGACACACTGGTGCTGGTGGAGGTTCGTGACAAAGGAGCAGGTGTTTGAAATTGCTGGGTTGGCGAAGGTGTGAGCAAAGTCCGCGAAGGGATTGCGCTTTTCCAGGGAGCAGCCCAAGACGGTGCATTCGGTCCACTCGGTGCAGTCAATGTAATTGGAGCAATCTTTGTGGTGCGGAAAACATCTGGGAATTGGGTGATTCGATAATCCTGCTCTCGGAAATAATCAAATTCCTTCTCGAGTGGAAGACCCTCAACCAGCGAGACTCGGCCCTTATAATTCGCACCAGAAATGAGTTCTGTCAATGACCGGGCATATTCTTCATTGGAGGGACAGCCCAGGAAGAGTTGGTGGCAATGGCAGTTGTATAAGTAAAGCTTGAATGCCTCTGGAGGAAGGGAAGCGAATCAGCAACGGTTTCTGTTATGTCAGGTTGTACCACATACCCTTGATTTTATCATGCGCTTTGTTTTTGCCAGTTCCAACGTCCACAATTTCGAAGAACGATGCACTCTCATTGAATCCACGAATAAATTCACTGATTGTGGAGGCCTCTAGGGCGATTCCACCCCGGATGTATGTCTCCATAAGTCCCTTCACATTAAGATAGATCTTCGTCATTATCTTCGGCTCGGTGATCGTGGAAAGAATTGTCGTCACGTAGCCCTGGAGAGATTTCCAGAGCTGCTTGGCCGCATTTCGTCCACCCTGTTCTCCTAGTTGCAGAAATTCGTCCTTGAATATTATTCCTTCGCCGTCTAAAAGCAACACGACGAATGGTTCGCGGTCCTAGAAGGGAAAAAAAGGATGTGTTAGCCTGAGCTTAGACAGCGCGTCCACAGTTGTTCTTACCATCATTTTCTTGACAACTGATATCTGGTCCATCAGCTCCATTTCATGCACCTGGACCTCACGATTGAACCGGGTTTCGCGTTCATGGTCGAGTTTCTCTTGTTGGAAGGAGTTCTCTAGGGCGGTTACACGTTGAAGAAGTTCCTATCATGAGTCTTGTTAGAATCAATCAGGGACCAAGGGAGGAATTGGTTGGTACCTCAATGAAGTCATTCTTCTGCTGGTCCAGAGCACTTAGCTGGCGATAGCGCTCTAAATAAGCTTGGGTCGCCATTTTTGTAGATTGATGAGTATCGTTTGAAGATCTGGAAAAGGTTGAAATTGCGAAGAGGATGAATGCGACAGAAGATAAGGAAGAAAGAAAGGAAGGGAGAGAAGCAAGTTTCAAGTCTGATCAAAGCCAACAGGGAAATTCCGGTGGGCAGGCGCTTGCAGGAGGTGACAATCTACAAAGCGCGTAAAGTGTTGAAATCACTGTAATCACCAATGATCAGTGACCACCTCACTTTATTAAATTAATTGATATAAGGAGAGAATTTATAGTCAGTCGTCTTTGCTTCAAATAAAAAAATCAATCTAAGATCGCGGGTGCTATCTGGCTGAGTCAGCCCCCCGGTTTTGCATACGTGGAGCCAAATATTCCCCTTCAACTCATCTTGACTTTGACCTTTCCCCGTTTCTACTTCTCCTTCTTTTTCTCTTCTCTCTTCCGGTTTCAAGATGACTCGCTTTGGTTTCCTCTCTCTGGCTCTACTCTCTCTCCAGGCCTTTGTTGGCACCGGCTTTGCTGCTGTATGTGTCTCGTCTTGATTTGGCTCGGGGACCACATCGCGTGACTCAATTGACTAATTATTTGGTTTTGAACATGTAGGATGCTGAGAATGCTGAAGCAGAGGTTCCCGCTCTGGCTGTCTCAGCCAAGGCCTCTTTCCCTGCTTCCGAGATCTTCGGTATCAAGCTTGTCAACGGTCACCCTACCCAGGCGCTGATCGCCATCTCCAACGATGAGCCGAACCCTATCACGGTGAACTTTGTCGGCGGTAGCCTTCGGAACCCCGATGACCAGACCCAAGTTGTCCGCAACTTGACTGCTACTCGTTATGCTATCGAGGTTCCCGCGGGTGAGAAGGAGACAATCAGCTACAGCTTCGCCACGGAGATGCACCCCCAGGATCTCCAGATGACTCTTTCTGCCATTATTTCCGACAGCGAGGGCCGCTTAGTTCCTATCGTTGCCCACAATGGCACCGTTAGCATCGTGGAGGCGGATACCAGCATATTTGACCCCCAGATGTAGGACACCCCCCTTTTACCTTGGTCGTGTGAGGGCAATGGGACTAACAATTACAATCAGCATCTTCCTCTACTTCTTCCTGCTGGCCTGTGTCTCTGGCACTGGTTACTTCTTCTACACCGTTTGGGTCGCTCCCTACTTCCCCCAGAAGCGCAAGTCCGGAAAGACCAGCGAGAAGCGCACCCAGGGTGGCTCAAAGCGCATCGAGACCCCGGTTACCGAGGAGACTTCCACCGGCGCTGCGGTTTCCTCTGCCAGCGCCTACAACGCTGATTGGATTCCCTCTCACCACATCAACCGTCCCGAAGCCCGCAAGGTCAAGGGTCGCTCTAAGGCCCGTGCGTAAATGCACACGCGACAGTCATATCGCGAATGGAGGAAGGGGACAATTCTGTTCAATGTATACCATTGTCGGAGTTTGTCTAGTGTGAGGGCGGCATTGGGTACGTGCTGGAAATGCACCGGCCCCTGCTGCTTGTCACAAGGGACATGTATATCTACCAATTAGAAGATTTTGCCCTAGTTTAGCCTCCATGGACGCCAAACAGGATCACTTTTGGAGAGTTCAATCCATTGTATATCATGCTGTGCCTGTTTTGGCAGTACTGGTATACCTTCGCAAGCACACACCGATAGCTCACAGTTTCTTCCATTCTTTAAACTCCTGCTCCAGATGTTGCTTCAATTCCGCAAACCGATTCCCAAAACCCCTGCTACAGCGCCAGCAAGTAAAATCTCGCTTTAGATACCCCTCTTTCGTCGGATTCCGTCGCACATCATCTTCTGCCAGCGGGAAGTCCTCGATTGGTACGAAGAATGGTGTCGAAAAGCTATTGTAGTGTTTCCGGTGCTTCAAGCGCTCGCTATACCTATCCACCGATAATACATGGACATGCAAGTGGTTCATGGATGGGACCGCATGCACCCCGACCACAATCTCCTGTGCCCAGTCCCGACCCTGCGGTAGCTCATCGGGGGGCGGATCAGCGCTCAGCGCCGCCTGTATTGGCTGATCCTGCGCAGAGTCCTTCCCATATTTGCGTCGCAGCTCAACCGCTGCAAACTCGCGAAGTGTTCGGGTTTCGGCCTTCACTTTTTCTAGGAACTCGGCATCCTCGAATGCATCAAATGGATGCATGCGCGTTTTGGTCTGATCGCGGGGGAGAAGGAGGAGGTGTAGCGATGACTTTGGAAACATGTCGTGGATCGCCACAAAGTCGTCATTATGGTAGACTACGGCATCGGGATATGTCTCAGGCTTTGCGATGTAGGCGCCTAGTCCGTCGCGGACACCAAATGCAGTCTTGCCCTTGGCCGCATTGCGATCAGACGGGGTTTTAGTCGCGTGCTTGGGTTGCTTCCTTTTCGGAGCCAGAAGTTCGGTAACTATCAAACCGATATGTCAGTCAAGTAGTTTTCAGTGACAAAACTCTGGGTGTCATTACAGGCATTTCTCTTTTCCGATGACCCAGTTTGTTCCTTTGGGTCACCCTTGCTCGGATTGGAGTGCTCCCCGGACATGATGGTTAGTGTAGAAGTTTGACTCGTGGTCACACAGTATATATTAGCAGTAGCATTGCCTTTAAAGAACAAAATCCAAGTGTCACATCGGTGGACCGAGTAAGAGTACAAGACATGTGCCTGTTGGGAGTTAGGTCTGCCATGGTCGCTGTACTTCTCCGTATGCTCCCCGCAGTCCCAAAGCGGTTTAGTGCGGCTCGCTCTTTTGCCCGAAGCTCCAAAAGTTATCTTTGGCGCAAACACTCACCACACACAAAATGCCACCTAAAAAGAAAGGTGATGGTAAGGGTGGCCCCAAACCGGGTACGAAACAAGCCAAAGCAGTCGCGGAGAAAGCCGGCGAAGTGAAGAAACAAGTGCCGGAAGAGCCCAAGAAACCGTCCGTGAAGGATGTCATTGGCGGCGCATCATGGACAGGGAAGCTACCAGTCAATATGTTGGCGGAGCACTGTCAGAAGCAAAAATGGGAAAAGCCTGAGTACAGCATGGTAATCGAATCTCCCAATGGCACTCGTCGCATGTCTACAAACACATATACCAAACCAGATGCTGATAGATTGCCACAATTGCAGATTAAAACAGCCGATGGCTTTGTGTCGTCCGTAACGATGAAGAAGATAGATCCCAAGACCAAGGAATTGATCGTGATCCCACCGATAAAGCTCCCTCCCTCCCATAAGCAACTCGCTGGGCAGCCGACGGCCCTCGAAGCGCGCCATTTTGGTGCAGCTTTTGCTCTGTTCCGAGTATGCAATATGCGCAATATCCATATGATGATGCCTCCAACATACAAGAAGTTGTGGAAGGAAGACTTTGGAGAAATTAAAGCAGCAGAGACTCGGGAAGGCAAGGGCTGGATGTACGAAGCAGATCCATTCTTAGCCAAGCAAGAGAGAGAGAGCGCGGCCGCCGACTTGGCAAAGAAGCGAGCAGATCGTGAAAAGGCCCAGGCAAAGGAGAAGGCCTCAAATGCGGAATTAGGGCTAGGAAATGGGGATGCCAGGAGTAAACGTATCTGGTCGCAGGCACCCAAGGTGGATATGGGCACACGAATCCGACGAGATATCGAAGGCCTTTTGCGACAGCATACAGTTTGGAACCCATATGGTGTGAAGATCCCCGAACACCAAAAGAAAATCATTGCGGACGAATTCACCGGTCTAGGGTTCCGTCGCAGCCATGTGGAAGAAGCTGCAGCGGAATGCAAAGACCGCGAAGAGGTCTTGGAGTGGCTTCTCATCTATGTTCCTGATGATGACCTCCCACGGTGGTCTCTGCCGGAAGGATATTCAGCTGGAGTCAGTCTTGGTTCTGGTGATCTCGCTCGTGAGGGCAAAGTCAAACGGCTGGCATCTGTTGGCTATCCAGCCGATATGTGCTCGCAAATCTTGGACAGCAAGAACGGCGACGAATTGGCGGCTGCTGAGCATTTACAAGGCACTTTGGCCCATGGAACTCAATTCTCGGCCCCATCGGTGGCGGACGAAGACGAAGAGGCTTGGGCAGAGGAAGCGACTACGCTAGAGGCCATCTTTGGAGAACGCTATCACCGCATATCTGCCAAGGTCTGCGAGATCAATAGCGAGGCATCGGAAATTCCACCAAACACAATTTTCCGCTTCCAAAAGCCCTCCGCCCATTACCCAACCACACCTCCTGTTATATCAATCCAGGCCAAGGGTGTCCCAGCTTATATACGTCTTAGTGCAATTCGTCGGGCAGTGCAGTATGCCGAGGAAAACTTTACGGGTGAATCTATGATTTTCAACATTATGGATTGGCTGGAGGTCAACCTGCCGAGCATCATGGAGAACCCAGGTAAATTGCGAGAGATTTCCGCTGTGACGGCTTCGTCGGCAGCTGAGACCCACCAAATTCCTGTGCGTTCGACTCGGAAGAATCGCAGAGGTATTGACTGGAAGGTCGACTCGGAGCGAAGCTTGGCGATCCGAGATGCTTGGGAGGCCAAACAAGATACTGCGCCGCAGATCGAGATGACCCGGAAAAGAAAAGCACTTCCGGCATGGAATATCCAGCATGAAATCATCCACACTATCAACTCAAACCAGGTGACTATCATCTCGGGTGAGACTGGTAGTGGTAAAAGTACACAATCCGTACAGTTTGTGCTGGATGACATGATCCAGAGGGGACTGGGAGGTGCTGCCAACATTATCTGCACGCAGCCACGACGAATCTCGGCCCTGGGTCTTGCCGACAGAGTCAGTGATGAGCGGTGCGCAGTAGTCGGTGATGAAGTCGGATATGTGATCCGAGGCGAGTCGAAAGCCAAACCTGGTTCAACAAAGATTACTTTCGTGACTACTGGTGTCTTGTTGCGCCGGATTCAATCGGGTGGCGATGCGGATGGCAATGTCGCAAGCTCCCTCGCAGATGTATCGCACGTGGTGGTCGACGAGGTTCACGAGCGGAGTCTGGATACAGACTTCTTATTGGCGCTGCTGAGGGATGTTCTAAATTATCGCAAGGACCTGAAAGTTATTCTTATGAGTGCCACCCTCGATGCTGGCATCTTCATGAGATATTTTGGCAGTCAGAGATCTGTTGGACTGGTGAACATTCCCGGCCGAACATTCCCTGTCGAAGACTACTACTTGGATGACGTTATCCGGTACACATCATTTGCGCCAGAACTTGCGGAGGGCTATGAAGATGAGGAAGAACCCTCTCGGGGCGATGAAACACTTGGAAAAGCCCTACGGAGCTTGGGTATGGGAATTAATTACGATTTGATCGCAGCGACTGTCGAATATATCGATGCTCAACTAGGAGACCAGCCAGGAGGCATCTTGATCTTCCTACCTGGTACTTTAGAGATTGATAGGTGTCTGAACGCAGTCAAGAGGATTCCCGATATGCATCCTCTACCATTGCATGCCTCCTTGCTCCCAGCCGAGCAACGACGAGTATTCCAGAGCGCACCAAGAGGAAAGAGAAAGGTCATTGCCGCTACAAACGTCGCGGAAACCTCAATCACAATCGAAGATGTTGTTGCCGTCATTGACACTGGTCGAGTCAAGGAAACGAGCTATGACCCTAAGGACAATATGGTCCGTCTCCAAGAAGTATGGGCCTCGCAGGCCGCCTGCAAACAGCGTCGCGGCCGAGCAGGCCGTGTCCGTGCAGGTATCTGCTATAAATTATATACCCGCAAAGCCGAATCAAACATGGCCCCACGACCAGACCCAGAAATCCGCCGTGTTCCCTTGGAGCAGCTGTGTCTATCCGTGAAATCCATGAAAGGAATCGAAGATGTCGCCACCTTCCTAGCCAACACCATCACCCCACCAGAAAGCATAGCCGTCGAAGGTGCACTGAACTTCCTGCATCGCGTAGGCGCTCTAGACCACGACAGACTTACAGCCCTGGGCCGCTACCTCTCCATGATTCCCGCGGATCTCCGCTGCGCCAAGCTCATGATCTACGGCTCCATCTTCGGCTGCATGGAACCCTGCCTCACAATCGCAGCCATGCTAACAGTCAAGAGCCCCTTCGTCTCACCACGCGAAAAGCGCGACGAAGCAAACGCCGCCAAATCAAGCTTCTCCCGCCCTGGCGACGGCGACCTCCTCACCGACCTCTCAGCGTACCAGGCCTGGTCCGAGCGAACCCGCGCCCAGGGAGGCTACTGGGGCACTCAGTCATGGTGTGTCGCCAACTTCCTGTCCCACCAGACGCTGCGCGATATCTCCTCCAATCGCGCACAGTTCATCACCTCCCTCAAAGACGCTGGCGTCCTGCCAGTTCAGTATTCCGACTCGTCGGCTTCGGCTTGGAACCGCAACGCAGCCAACCGCAACTTGATCCGCGCCCTTGTTGCTGGAGCCTTCCAGCCGCAGGTTGCGCAGATATCGTTCCCGGATAAGAAATTCGCCAGCTCGGTTACTGGTACCGTCGAGGTGGACCCGGATGCTCGCACTATCAAGTACTTCAATCAGGAGAATGGTCGTGTCTTCATTCACCCCAGCTCTATCCTCTTTTCTGCGGCTGGCTACCCCAGTGCCGCGGCATATCTCAGTTACTTTACCAAGATGGCTACCAGCAAGGTCTTCATCCGCGATCTCACCCGTGAGTTACTTCTCTCCTATCCCTCGAGGTATTACCTTCTAACATTTTTTTTTCTTACTTGCAGCTTTCAACGCCTACTCCCTACTTCTCTTCTGCGGCTCTATAGAACTCGACACCGTAGGTCGCGGACTAGTCGTAGACGGCTGGCTCCGTCTACGCGGCTGGGCCCGGATCGGCGTGCTTGTTTCGCGGCTTCGCACCATGCTGGATGAGGCTCTTACGGAGCGGTTTGATAATCCTTCGGTTGTATCCGATGGCAGCAGCCTTGCTGATAGAGTGATTGAGGCTGTCAAGAAGTTGATTGAGTTTAATGGGCTTGATCAGTGATTTGCATAGGCGGGTTTTTGGGTTGAAAACATATACAGCGCATATATCATCGCATATATCATCTTAGATGGGAAAACAATCGAAATGATTTACGAGACACATCCCTAGTTATACCGTGACATAGAGAAGTCGCCTGTACGGTTTAGACTTTATAACACCTTAGGCACTATTTAAGAAGATATACTCAAGACCAAGAGGATAAATCCCATGAGAATGGATACCAAATAGAGACCATAAACATGGATGTCGAAGTTAGGAGGGTAGAATAGGTTATAGAAATATGACGTCATATTCGACTATTACTAGCACAGTACAACATACAAAGGGTGGCGCAGAGCCAGTCAGGTGACTTGTGTAGATAGAGAGTGTATCAACGGTTAACCCAGTTACCACCACTAAGCCGTTTCCCCAGAACAAAACAAAAAAAAAAAAGGCAAAAAGAATTAGGCAGTTAGAACGCCTGGCGAGAAACTGATCATCGTCAACGCCCTCCGATCATTTACTCTCATGTTCGGAAAATGGTGGCGTCAAGTCATCTCGTCGTCAGCCCAGTAGAGCTGGGAAGAAATCAAAAGCATGACGAA